CGTTGGTCCATGTCGTCCTCCATGCATCTCTACAGCCTTCAGTGTATAGGTCGTGCACAAATATTATCTCCGTGTCGTAAGGTAGTCCATCCGATGGTTCATACAGCACATACAGTTTGTCAATGATGCTATTTTCGACCATAGTTGCTATCTCATTTGCGGAAACCCCTTCTTCTGGAACCTGCGCCGTCGACAAACTTGAAGATTTAAATCAAGATCAAAGCAAATTTAACCAACATGAAGAACAAGTAAAAGTTTTGTATAGCTCTAGAATTGACGGAAGAGACTCTTTCTTCGACGCCGCTTGTGGCGCAGAATGTGAAAATCGGCCCAAATAAGAAACCTGTCTCCAGATGTAAGAACTCGTCTAAATTTAGTTACAGTTCATATGACGTATGACAGATGCGTGGAAAAGGATGAAAAATGTACCTCATCTGAAGCGTCGGTCTTCAAACTCTTATCTGAATGGTCTGAATCGAAGTCATCGAAGCGAGCAACTCGATTCATCTCGACTTTATATGGGACATCAGGATCCAACCAAATCCAAAAAGAGGCGTCTAGACACAATCCCCGTACAAAGACGTCATCTTGCGCTGCCCAGACCCAGGCCTGCTCGCTCACCCCACACCATTAAGCCCCTGCCATTGCAAACGGCTTGTGAGCTGATATACCCTCAAACGCTCAGGCTCAGCTTCGAATGAATCTTATCACGTGCCAGCCAGCTGCAGTCTCTACCCTGGTCACTGCTGTAGCATATGCTGCACATGCTTGACTTCGGTGTTTCTAGGATCATGCCTTGGCTTTTACCTTCTGTCCGGCCACGGCTTCCGAGTCATCGTCGTGCAATCATCTCATGATCATGATCATCTGTACCACACCGTACTCAGTGAATCCGATGTGGATGAAGAATTCTGTTTTGCTAACGGAGCCCATACATTCGTTAAGCATTGTTTTCTTGCATCTATGGAATTGTCGTCATACGCAAGCATCAATCAGAAAACAGTCCATGCTTGCGAACATGTGAGCTTCGTGGTTCAACTGTGTCAATGTGTAGAGTCTGCTCCTGCTTTGGCTCAGACTCTATATCAGAAATTCATTTCTCTTTCCTCATAGATCTCATCCCGAGCGAGAGCTTCTACCGAGCGACCAAAATAGGTAGTGAATTTGATCGAATAGAGATTATTTTGCATAATTTCAGCAGTCAGTTTCATACAACTTCCATCCACATTACAATACATGTCTGATCAAATCTGAACGATCAAAAGTCGACTCAGAAGATTCACTTTAATAACATTTGATTGTAGTTCCAGTGTGGATAGGGTAATATACGATTCCGAAAGCTGCTGCTCTGTATACACGCGCTTTTGCGAAGTCGTCTCTGATTGTGTGGCCCAGTGTCATCGAATTCTGAGCAATGGGACATTGATGAGATTCAGATTTCTCATCGATGCCATAAGGCCTGATAATACCCGACTGCCCTGAACACATTGACAATACTGATTGTCTTCTTGTATTACTGTGCTGGTGAGCTACAAGAGTCAAGTTGATGTCCCATCCTTTCTTGTTTTCTACTTGACCCCGATTCACACACATTCTACTCACACAAAGTATATTCACTGTTTAGTTGCACGATCTGTCTACATACAAACATGAGAAATAAGATATCACAAGTGACAGAAGTTTCAACTCGCTTTCAACAACTTGAGTGGCATAAAAGTCTTTATTGTTTTCCACTTCACTACTATCACTCACTTAGGGCTAATTAGCCCTCACTCTACTCTGAACGGTAGATGTAGGTTTATAGGTTTCTGTCACATACAAACATGAGAAATAAAACATCACAAGTGATAGAAGTTTCAACTCCTTCTCAACAACTTGAGTGGTATAAAAGTCTTTATTGTTTTCCACTTTACTACTATCTCTCACTAAGGGCTAATTAGCCCTCACTCTCCTCTTCATGGTAGATGTAGGGTTATAAGTTTCTCGGATGAGTAGCAATCAGGGTAGGGTGTAACGTGTTAGACCGATCAGAGATTCGATTATACTAGTGTGAGGGGTAATTAGCCCTAGGTGAGAGATAACTAGCACTCCCCTTATTAATTCGTATAGATTTAAGTATATTTCCGATAGAGTTGTGCTTGATCATTGCAGCATTGTGTGCTTTTTCCCTAGCTCGTAAGTACATTAATTTCTGAAAAAGATGAAGGATACAAAAGCTTGATTGGATATCACAAATTTCAAATTTTCTTTATTAATGAATAAAAGTGATATCATTGAAAAGATGTATTTTCTACGAATACATATTTATTATTACATTGTATCAGAATATATATACATAAATTTGAGGAATCTTTGATTTGGCATAAATTTTTATATTTCATTTTTTTTCATGAATATTTTTCTATTTGTTGATAAATGAAGTGAAATTTTTTGTGTTGCAAAATAGCAAAATTGTCACAATTTTTTTAATCTATTAAAAAAAAGAATATGGGCCTTTGCAAAATTACCTTGAGGTGGCTAGTTTGAACTTTTTGATAAAATAATCAACAACTCAATCTTGAAAAATTGTTGTCATTATTGCAGCTGAAATAAGTATTTGAATCTTCAAACAACCAGACTTTCCACTTTGTAAATTTTTGTTGTTACTGCAATTTTATGTTTGATGGGGACAATATTAATAATTTTTGTCTTTATATCAAAATCATATTATAGATAACTTTATAGAGAAAGTTTTTGATGCACATCAGACACAATAGTAATAGTCAATTTTGCTATTAACAACGTTCACATTTGATTTTTTGTTTAATTCAATATCACTTTTCAATTCTGAAAACTGAAGATGATAAACAGTTTTGTACTTTCAGTTGAACTTTGGAAGTACAACAACTTTTATGCAAAGTACATATTGGAAATAATAACAGTGTTGAAGTTACCAAATGGAGTTAGTTGGATATTGATGTGATTTTTTGTACGTCAAAATGGAAAAGCAATATATCTTGATGAACATTTTAAAATTTGAAAAAAAATTATGATACATTTAAGGCCGGGTAAATATTTCAATTTGAACACTCCATGACCACAAAGGATGCTTCTTGTAGTGAGTCGTCATGTGTTCTTCGTGTGAATGGTCCAGTAGCTCAATACAAGAGCCTTCCAAGCAATGGATCTGTGCTGCGGGTTCAAGTCCTGCCTGGAATTTAAATATTGGTTTAGGTGATGAGAAAATAAGGACTGTAGGGCAAATTCCTCAGTTTCAGTTCTCCATGAGATTTGAAGTATGCTTCGTCTTGGAGTGAATAGTCATGTGTCTTGGTGTGAAAGCCCAATAGCTAAATGCGAGAGACTTCCAAGCAATGGATCTGTGCTGCGTTTTCAAGTCCTGCCTGGGCTTTAAGTTTTGGTGGTAAGAAAATCAGGACTGGGGTGAATTCTTCAATTTGAGATTCTCTATAAGTCTTAAATGTCTTGGTCACCACAATAATTGATCAGAAGACGGATAATATGGCGAAAAGAGTCAATAGAATGCATCTATATCGTATCTGCAAGCAATATTTTCACTTTATTTTGTTTGAAGTATCAAACAATAGATTATGGACTGAAAAAATCCATTTTATAAAATAATGATATAGATATGAAAATATAAAATATTACCATTAGATTTTTTTGGGGACATTGTAAGATTTTGGATAAAATTTGAATTAAAAAAATATAAAACTCATAAAATATTTGTTAATAATCATGAAGCTCAACGTCTGAAGTTTTAAAATACAATGAATATCTTCATTATTTTTTGTAAGGATGTCAGATGAAAATAATGTTCAAATATAATTTTGTAAATATGTCTAAAATTAAAAAAAAACTTGATTTGAAAAATATTATTTATTCGTTTATACATATATTATAAAAAACATGCATGTGCTAGTTTAAACAAAATGGTTTGAAAACTGTATTGTCATGTTATCAGGCAGATATGTAAGTATAAAAAATTGATATTGTATTGAATAAATTTTAACAAAATGTCGTAATAAAACTTGTCACATTATTTTACAATTAAGTTTGATGAGTTTAAAATCAACCGAACAATAGCGCCAAATCCTCAATGGAAACTTTCCAAGATCCACTTCTAATTGGTGTAGTTTGTGTACACCATGAGCTGGTCACTCACTCGTAAGTTCGTCCGTTGGAGCAAGCAATTAAAGATCAGCTTTAAACGAGCCTGTACTCTATTAGAAACCGGTAGTGAGTTGGACTAGGTCGATATAAAGCGATGGCGATTGGTTCCAAATAATAATGTACTATATTAGAACTTGGTTGACGGTGCCGTCGGTCCAGCAAGTGTGTAAAACAGTTCACATGAAGTATGGGTGACGGTGGGTCCCATGGGTCCAGCAAGTATTTTGTTTTACAGAGTTCCCATCCGGTAATTCTACACAGAGGTTTCAAAGAGAAAATATAGCAGATCAAACCGGGAGTGATTTGAACTTGGTAGATAGTAGAGCGAGTGGACAAGTTGGCTCCAAATGAGAATGTACTATATTAGAAGATGGGTGACTGTGTTCGATGGATCTAATGGATCCATCAAGTAATTCAGCAAGTTTTTTACACAGTTTCCATCAATTAATTTTTACACTTGGAAGTTTCAAAGAGTAGATATCGCATCAGCGATCAAACCGGTAGTGAATTGGACTTGGTAGATAGTAGAACGAGTGGACAAATTAGCTCCAAATGAGAATGTATTAGATTAGAACATGGATGACTGTATTCGATGTATCTAATGGATCTATAGAGTAATTTAGCAAGTTTTTTACATAGTTTCCATTAATTAATTTTACAAATGGAAGTTTCAAAGAGTAGATAACGAATAAGCTAGTAGTGAATTGGACTTGGTAGATAGTAGAGCGAGTGGGGATTCGCTCCAACTGAGAGAATAGAGGAGAGTAGAGCCGAAGAGTAGTGCATCAAGGAGGGCATATCAATCATTGCTTCGCTCAAGGGACGGGGCCGTGGTTTACGGGGAATGCTGTTCGCAGCCTCTATTTGTGCTTGGGAAGGTTTCAGTAACTTCTTCAAACTTATTCGGTTACAGCTGCTTTTTTATTTCTCTCTTATTCTTTTTATCATTCTCTCTCGTCTTTCGAACATCGAGAGTGGCCGCTGCCTGCAAGTTCCTGTGGACTGCTTGCTGGCTCCGCCGTTCCCTTCGGAACACCCCAGGCGTTCTGCCAACGCCAAGAAACGGAGATTGATTCGAGAGAATCAGATCGTCAAGGATCTCATGAAGATTGTGGAAGATGCTGCGAACCGTTGTTCGACTCAAGCGTATGATTTCGCTCCCTCTTAATACGAGCATGCGCGGTCTACTCAACAGGTTGCGTTTACAGAATCAACTCCATCGTTGTACCAGGAACTTGACGTTTATAAAATGCAGGAACAGCAGTAGCAACAATATCGATACATGCTCCAGCAACAACAGCAGATGCTTGCATTTGTGAATTTCAACGCCATTGATAGAGGCTTTACTCCGGTGCAAGCAACGGACTCGTCTGCATCTATAGCGCACAGAAGCGGATAGCCCTAAAACCATGTGAATATGTGTATTCTTATAAGTTTACCCCAGTTAGTAAGATACATGAAAATAGGAGAAAGAAAATAGTTCGCTCGTTCTCAATGTCTGGCTACAGCTTCTTCACGGAATTTGCAGCAGGCATGGTGAAGATGGGAAACCTTGGGGTGCTCACTGGAACTGAAGGTGAAATCCGCAAGACAGTGCCAGTTCGTAAATTAATAATTCTCTCCAAATTTTCCAATTATCATCAAGTTAGTGTTGCAACAGCATGTAGCATGACTAAAAATCTCACGTCTCTTGACGGATTTATGGCATAGGTAGGATGAACTCATTCATTCTCTTAAGTTCAGAATAAGCTCCAGTTAGATCCACGAGGATTTTCCACTTACCTACAATGCTCTCTATGCACGAGAATCAGGAAACACAAGATTGGAATGAATCTCTGCACTAGTTTCCAACGGGAAGAAAGTGAGAAAATTGTACGGGGAATGTACATTGACATTCCTGCAAGGGCTGGATATTGTTTCACAATAAAGAGTATTGGAGAGCGGAACATATCCGAATCATCTGCTCGCTAGTTTGTGATTTCCCTACATGTGTTCGTGAATGGACGGACTATTTTTGCTTGAGATAGGATCCATTCTATTTCTGATGCTTCATTGCGTGGGCAGTATCATCCATGCAGAGGTGTCATTACAAGAAGATTACAACCATGATGATGAGAGCGGACGACCACTTCATTGCCCATGCTTTATCGTGCTGCTACAGGATCACATTTTGTGAAAAACTGTGAACCATGATTGACATTGCAAACTTGCAATGTCAACTAGTGAGCGTGATTGTGGAATACTTATTTATGCTTGTAATTAATACAAACAAATGTTTATAAAAATGTTAAGTTAAATTTATATAAACCAAATAATAATTTAATATTTCCAACAAGTGTTTTATATATATTATTCATATATACCATATTAAAAGTACAGAAATCTATAATATAAGATTGAAATTTAGTAAAATAAAATCAAAAAACATGTTTTTCAAAAAAATATAATTATTTTCATTTTTTTGGAGTTATCACATTATAATTTTTTTTACTTTATTTCTCTCAAAATTTTTAGATCTAAAATTTCAAAAACACTTAATATTTATCTCCTACTATGTATAAATTTGACAGGAAAAATATGGATTTGATTTGATCAAAAAATATTATTTAAACAAAAATCCTAATTGGTTAATTTTGAATTTTCTAAAATAAATTATGTGATGACCAAAAATATTAAAAAAATGCATTGAGCAGTTATCTTTTTTGATTAATTATATATGAGATAAATCTATCTTTTTAGTACAAGATTCGATAAGCTTAATCATTATCAAAGTTTAGCAATACATTGTTCAATAAAAAAAAATTTTATGATCTTCATGCAATAATATCCTTAAAATATAAAATCTTGTTACATTTCAAATTATCACCTTCTTCATATGAAACTTATCCATTAAATTGAAATTAATTTCTTTTAAATTTATTCTTATCATTCCATGAACATAGTCACACACAAATCACATATTTTATGAAACAAAGAGTTGGAAGTAAATATTATCTTCTACTGTCATATATCATCAGACAGAAAATCATCTATAATTTGATTTTAGGTGATGATGTGACTATTTTAATAAAATGAAACAAATGAAAATGATTAAAAAAATATATTGATGAGGGAAAAAAATAAAGAAATTTTTTCATGCTTTTTAGTTATTTTCAAAATTCTATCAATAAATCATCATATGTTTATAGTTATGAGTGTAACTTTGAATTTTTAAATTATAATTTATATACTAGAATTCATCAACTTCAAAGAGATATACAAACTATTTGACATATTTTTGCAGTAAAACGAGATTAAGAATATCAATCAACAAACTACTATTATCATATGATTCAAAATCAATAATGAAGAATGTATCAAGGTATGCTCATAATCTACAACTCCAAATGTTTCTTATCTTTTTTGTTGAATGTGAATTGTTAAGACATCAATTTTTTTTCTTTAAGCTGTAATATCCAATAAGTTTTATCTCTTCAAAGATAATAATTATCCAAGACTATTTTATTTCATTCTACAGTTGTTATATTTTTCTATTTGCTCCAAAATAAAAAATTTGAATGTAATGAATTATATGCATAACCTATAACTTGATTTCATACTTAGCTTTCTTGAGAAAATTGGAATGTTGAGGCATAAATTTCTTGTGCCTTAATCAATATGCCTTATCTCTTCAAAACAGATAGTCATACACATCTATCCTATTTCATTCTATCAAAAATAGCTCTCTAGTCACAACAGGCAAAGCATATGAACTCTCGCAATGTAAGATCAAAAAACAGATCATGACATGGAAATGGAATCTGCTCGCTGTGATACTATTTAATTTTCTTTATCCTACTTCATTATCAAATTTTTATTTGTAAACTTAAGAGTTAAGATTGTAAAGAGTAATATTTGGTATTTTTTAACCAATTCTCATCATTAAGAGTTGAAACAAAAGTACGACATCCCTTGATAAAGATCACGTCCACACTATCCATAATATGATGTTTACAATAACACAAATGTAAAGTTCACATTTGCCAGTGCATTATTATGGAGTAAGTCGTATCTTCACTTGGTTCAAAATATACAACTTATCATTATATATTATGATCGTGAGTCATACAAATGACCGTTTATGAGAGACTGTTTACGATCACTTTGATGGGTGGCGAATGTGAAGTTAGTATGTATCTATACATAATTCAGAAGTAACAAGTTTCGATTGGAGACGTTATGTTATTAATCAGTAGATTTGACATTTTTTGTAAAAGTGGACTATCCATCTTCAAGGCTGAATGGTTTTAGATTTCAGCTTTTGATTACTTCAGTATACTTTTATATCTCTATGATGTCATATTGCTTAATAAGACGTGGCATTTATATTTCAACTTTATATATAGGAAATTCATGCTATTCCCGATCCTTATCCTATAAACATTATATGTGATCAAGTTTTAAGCGTTATATTAAACATAAACAGTGTTTCGTGCAATGAGGAAAGCTGAATTAATGCATGAAAAGTCAACGTTACATATTCTTCTTCAGACAAGATCAGATAGTCTCTTGCCAAGAAAAGCCTTAAGTGTCAATGCTGTCAAGATACCATGCATGTTACGCATACGTAGCCAGGACAGATGGAGTGGTTCGTAGTATCCTTCAGTTTACTCCATCTTTCTGTCTTTTCGAAGATGAAGCACATGTCCCTGTCCTTGTCATGTGATCCACCATAGATTTGAAGAGCTCAACAGCTCTGAAACTAGTTGAGATGAGAGTGAGTGAACCTTGATGTCCCTTACTCTCACTGATCGTCCTGTGTTTGCAAAACACAGAGCAAGCAATGTCAGCATGGATCCATGACATCATCATCTTCAGTCTACTCCTCAGTGTCATAATAATGGCTGAAGGTGAAGTTTCATTTGTACAACTTGAGACCGTTAGAGGGTGAGAGACCTGCATAGGGAAGGTGACGAGCAGATGGACCAAGACCGAAGCTGCTGAAATTCACGAAGCAAGACAGTAGCATGAAACCAGTTAAGGAGGACGAGCTTCAAAAAATTGGAATCTCGGATCTGTGAATACAATAGTGTGAAGCTGAGATTTTCAACTCGTCAGTAGATAAAGAGATTCACATCAGCTTCAAAGCCTCTGCTGCAGTGTTACAAAAGCCATCTCGAAGCTTCGCTTGCATAACCTGTTGTAAATATATGATCTTAGTAAAGAAGCGCGACTGTGTCAAGCACGATTACCCACCTGGCCATTAAGCCACTCAGCGGAAGATCTCAACGAGGATGGTCTCTTGAAACTTCATAAATTATAGAGAGGCAGGTTCATTATTAAGAGTTACAACAAATTCGAGATCTTGACGAAAATTTGATGAAGTAAATCCGGTGTAGATGATGTTTTCATAACATATAAAATACTGCTCGTAAAGCTCTAGGTTCTGTCTCTTCAGTAGAGTCGTTCCATTCAATATACTATCTGAGAAAGGTCAAAAGAAGACGAGCTAATGGCGCTCAGATCGTGGAAAGAGGAGCTCATAAACATTGAACAGAACGCCTAGCAAGAATAACTGGATCAAAGGAGACCATCTTTTATTCCAGATCCAGCAGAGGGTCCTTCACCGGAAGGCAGGGAGGGAGGCAATACCGGGCGGAACAATGAAGAAGCAATGTCGAGACTTTGTTGGGCGAGGAGGCGTTGACTTGTTATTGTTTATTGAGACGTAAAGCTTTGATGTAAGCTTGGAAGTGTCATGGGGCAAAAATAAATCGGAGGTGGGTATACCTTGAGCAGGGAGAGCAACTTCGGATGATCTTCAATAGCTTTCCTGAGCATCTGTTCTTTAGAGAGTGGTATAGCTTTTCTCGGTGACTTCAGCTGCTCTCCCTGTTGAGGATTGTGCGAATGAGAAGCACTACGTTCCCTGCGTTCCTCAGCGATGGCCGATTCCAGCTCCTCAAGATCGTCGTCTCCCAGAGATGTGTACAGGCCATCCTTCACAACCTTCTGTCGCTCTCTCGTGTCCATGTGAAGATTTTTGTAGTGATCCTTCGGTACTTCCGGCTCCTTGTGGCGATCTTCGTGGTGATACTTCTTCGTTACTTCCGGCTCCTTGTGACGATCTTTGTGGACATCCTTATTCGCTACTTCTGGCTGCTTGTGAGGATCTTTGTGTTGATCAGTCTTTGCAACTCCCGGCTCCTTGTGACTAAATTTGTGCTCATCCTTCTTTTTCATGGGCAGAGGTTCGATTTTAACTTCTGCCTGCACTGTTTCCTGATGAACTCCACCAAATTATTTTACTCAGTGCAAACATTCAGGCGCTTCAGACAATCAAAAGATAGATGTATAATCAATGCAAGCTTGGCACCTGCAACAGTACCAGCAGCAAGTCTGTATTGCCATGCATTCGCATTACTAACCGTCGTTTTAGAGCTCAGCAGACTCACGTGCAAGTTAGTAATTGATGCCCTTCACTCCAGTAGTGTTTCACGATTCTAAAGCACATATGAACTCGTGTTAGCTATTTCAGTCACAAATACCATACTGAAACAACAAATGAAGTCGCTTGCGCAGGAGCTTTTTCAAGAGAGAAAGTGTATCGGATCTGTGTGCATTGATCCTCAGTTTGCATCCTTCCTCAATAAGAGATTTACTATTTGCAGTCAATGTCTTGTTCGAATATCCGGGTGAGGAATCTATGATGTTTGTGATTTATAAAATAAATTCGTTTTGTGATTTAAAAGATAAATGAAGCGTCACAATTGATCACGGCAGCGATCCGTAGAAGTTTAACGCGTAGCCTTTAAACAATGAGCTCCTGACCGAAGAAAACATCAAAATGACATGACATATCAGATGCGATATTTATTTCACTTGAATTATGAACTCTTTGTTTCTTTCTTCTCTGTCCACATTCCTTGTGTCCACCCCAGCAGCAGCTACAGACCTTTATGGCTGATGAGGATGCACACCTTCATGCACATGTATATAGAGGAGGGTAGGATTTGGTATCAGATGTGCTTTGACTCTTGGAGAAGAAACACCACTCTTCTTTGCATGGACGAAGTATTTTCCAGAGAATGGCATGACTGGAAAAGCATGTACTCTCCATGTTACGCTATCGGTGAGTCGCATTGCAATATGTGGCAGCTGACAGCTGATAACTGATTAACAGTTTGTTGTGACAGAGAACAAGGTCTACGAACGCCATGCGTGACTTTGAGATCCTTGACCTGCTGCTCATACCTCTTCCATATCGTCTTCTCCATTCTCATGGACTTCGTTATGTCCTCCTCCTTCCTGGCCGTGACCACCTCCATGTCCATGACCGTCCCATGGATGCCGCCATCCCTGAGCAAAACCTCTACCACGATGACCATCAGTAAGATGAGCAATTAAATTCAGCTAACAATGTCATAAGAGATCAAGGAAGACCAACTCAAAATAAGAGTCGGCGAGACTGTCACTGGTTCATGACAGTAGCTCACCGATTTATCGGGAGGACGAACCAAAACATCACTTTTGCTTTTGGCAGAAGAAAGTGCTCCGAGAGGGTCATAAGCAAAAGCTAACTGGGCAAATTTAATCCCATTTCTTTGCAATACATGAACTACGAACATTCCAGTCCAAGAATCGAGGTCCAGCAGAGACACAGAGAGAGAGAGAGAGATTGAAACGGCCGTACCAGCACTACAGGTCCATCTTTTCTGGCTCTGTGAAGCACCCATAACCTGCTTGCCATTGCAGAAAACACCACGCCCTCACTCCGTCAGCTCTCAAATCCACGAGCTCCGGCTTTCATGTCAGAAAATACTTCGACTCCCAACGTTCAAGAAACACCAAACAAACAACCTTCTCACGAGCAAGAACGAGAATTCTCAATCTCTAAAGCCACAGGACTCGTCGATCGCTGCAAATCACTCACCACATGATCGTGCATAGTCCCTTTCCCACCGCCCTTTGCCACCACTTGGGCCGGTGTAGAGCCAGATCCGCGTACTTGTCACCATGCCCACCTGCCATTGCGCCTTGTTCCCTCCTCGATTCTCTCTCTCTCTCTGCCGCAGCCGGAGACGAACTCGACATCGACTGCAACGATGGCAGGCAGGCTAGGCTTTCCTCAGCACCCGACGGTCCGACGAGCATGCGTCGATCTCCTTTCGAGCTCCTTCTTCAACCGCGATTCTTGACGAGTGCATCGAGATCTGATTCTTGTTTCCGGTATACCGCTGTGCACTGGAACATTACACGAGAGTCCGGAGGTCTGGGAAATTCAAGAGAACGTGAGCGCCTTCGCAACTGCTCGAGCGAGCTGCATCATCATCATCATGATCGAGACGCCTCCCATGACCCGCTTCTAGCTCTCAGCGATCTCCACATCATCTCTGGCTCCAGTTCGTTCCGACAGCACAAGAGGCTCGATTCTGATTTCCCTTCCGCATCCAGATCTCGTTCTCCCCAGACCTGGAGGCCGGCAGCTAGATCTAATAAGATCCGACTCACCGCATCATCGTCTTCTTCGGCAATTTCTCGTGAAGCACTCGAATGCCCCATTGGGGACTTCCGAGAACGCATGGCTGCGATTGACCGCGGCGGCATCTCGAGGCTGACAAGAGGAAGCCGCCACCAATTTGTGCCCAAATGCAACCCAGAGAGACGAGGACCTGAAAGCCATGCAATCCAAGTCACGAGAGATCAGACCGAGAACGCGTGTCCAATATTCTGATTTCCCGTGTCCATTCTGATTTGGTACGTGTTGAAGCATTTAATCAAAAGTGTCACAATCCGTGAAGCGAATTCGTGAATGGAGACGATCTGATCCGAGCTTCTCAGTTTTACTAAATCCATAACTGTGCGTGATGATCTCGATAATTCTTTCTTTCAAGGGTATCGAATTTGCCAGCACTCTTGGCTGTATTTTCCTCCCAAATGTCTCTCTAAATCTAGCGCTAGCAGTTTTTCTAGCGTCCCGCTAGACATCTCATTGTCCCCGTCTTATTCAAGCCATAATACCAGGCGATATGTTACAGCTTGTAAGTTTTGTATATAGCCCCTACTCCCATCACACTATTTACTCCTGTAATCCTCTATATAAATTATGGGAGACTAAATTCTCTGACAAGTATTATAATTGTATATAATGTATATGTTCTGTTTCGATAGTTGTTTTTCTCTTCAATTTCTATCTATGCTCTTGAACTTGCGTTACATCTTTTATCATGGATGGTGTATCAGTACGTTAAAAATAATTTACAATATATGATATCTTAAGTGGTATTTTACAATAGATTAAACTCTTAATTGATCAATTAGTTAATCTGTAGATTTTACAATGTAGTAAGTGTTCTCAATTTTTGAGTGAGATTGATACAAGCATTCTCGAGTTTTGCAAAATATTTTTTTTTAATAATCATATTTTGGATTATATATATCTTCATACTGTTGTATTGGTAAGGGAAAAAAATTATTAATGCATTTATTTTCTAGAAAATGAGTATCTAGAATTGTCTAAAATATTTGAATCTACACATTTACAGATTGATACTCATTCTTTCTCATTCTTATTACATGTACTATATCACATATAAGCAAATTGTAGAAAGTATGTGATACTATATCACATACTTTCTATCATGTATGTGATGTAGTATTATATTTTAAATAGTATACACTATCGTGAAACTAGGGAAAAAGAACAGATCCATTGAGTAGTAAGTGATCTGTTGACTTGCTACTCAAGTGATATATGCTATACAGTTTCTTCCTCATAGAGATATCTCAAAAAGTTCATAAAAATATTTCTTTACACAATCACGATTCATAGTAATCGCAGTATATCCATGATATGATGCATATCACAATGCTTGTGATATGAATTCTCTCACTATTCATATATATGGATCCCACAATAATCATTTACAACTCATAGTACATCTACATTTATATCAATATGCATCATGTCAAGTATATACATCTTATTGATAATTCAACTCCAATCACCTTGTAATAGTCTTACAAATTTGATATTTCTTAAGCAATATATCAGTAATATATGAAGTAATATATCTTCAGTCTAAGAAACATGTACTTTAGTCTACATCTAGGAAATATTTGAGGAGTCATGTATAAGTCATATAGTGGATATATACTTAATTTTCTTGACTTATAGCCTTGTTACCAACATGTATGATACCATATCCACTCATGCTCCTATATAGTAAAGAGTCTACGCTGCATTCTCGTGTGGCATTGAAGACAAAAATTCACAATCTGTCAATACTTTGAAATAGAGTCACTAACTCCAAAATCTAAGCTTTGTTATGACAAGGCCATTCGCAGTGTAACACTATCTCATTTACAACGGAGAAGCGGTGCCTAGGACATTTCTTCTCTGACTCCAACCTTAGAAATCTAGGAAGCAAGCACTCAAGCTGCAAGTCGGTGGTACCCATAGCCACTGAACATCAAAGATCGTTCTGTATTGCACAGGACACTTTTTCATCTGCAGTCGTGGAGTGCAAAGTTCGTTGGTACCAGAATCTTTTGAAAGCTATAGTAACTAAAACCATACGCTTAGAAAAGGGCAGTTTTATTCTTATATAGTCACTATCCGCTATTTGCAAAGCCACCTGCATAGACTTAGACAAATTGAGAATATGATTGTGATCTCACCGAAATGAATATTATTGATACATATTGCTGCTCATTACTTTTCCAGTCTGAGTTTACTATGAAATGCAAATTTTGATAAATAATCCAATTGTGCGGTCAGATGGTTATCTCATGTTTTTTCTCCCGTCTTTCAAGGAAATTCCCTTGGCATTGCATCCATTCCGGTGCAGAGAGATGCAAGAGTTTCCATATCTTTGCAAGGATTATGCTGTTACCCATGCCATCAGCCTACGGCAGTGTGTTTATTTATTTATTTATTTATTTATTTATTTATTTATATTAATTGTATGCAATAAATCTAGTTGTGCAATGATTTTGTAAATGTTATCAGCAATTTGTAAATGTCAACTGAGGCAACACACGGTTCTGTCATAGCTGATGTGAACATGCTCTGTTCTGTCTAAGTTTCTCGGCAAACTGTGAGCAGAGCCATATGGGTAGTAGTAAGAAACAACTCAAGAAAATTTTCAGATGTAATCTGCTCAATAAGTGATCCTCGTACCTTCTCAGCGAGACGATATCTGCTGAACTAGGCAACAACTACACGGTCTTCGTCTATCCTGAATCGCTTCCAAAGTATTCCCTGTGATAGTCTTGACTCTTGGCCCCATTGCTCCCTCTTGGCTTCACTCCATGGGGTGTTTCTATTTTCTTTGCTGAACAACTTACTCCCTCATGTCACCTGCAACTCAGAAGTGCCTGCCATCGTGCAAAGAGGTGTACAATCGGTACATCTGACACTTCATTCCTCAGTGTATTTGTTGGACTGCATTTGGTGATTCTCGGCTTTCTACACTAGCCCTTGTTACCTTCCTTCTTCTGATTATTCCTCATCTACCGCGACGTCATTCGTCTTGTCACTCAACTACTGCAAACATGTCATCCAATATACTGTCTATGAGCCTATTTGAGACAAGTTCTATGTTTGGCACGCTCGAATCTCATTGAATGTTTAAAGACTATGACATCCACCTTGTTCCTTCGGAACGTAGGCTTGTCTGACCACATTCACTAGTAAGTCACTTCTTACAATAAACCATCTTCTTCATTCCTGTCAGGTACACCCACAGCTAGTGTCTAAAGACTGACGCTCCATCTTCTCAGAGGTGATAGGTGACATTAAAACTTATGGCCGTTGCTACAGAATTCTGACACAATCCATATCAGGACAAATGTGTTCAAATTGGAGCTACAGAGTTAACTCTTATGTCTTCTCTTGATTGAATCGGGCCTTAGAATAAGAACAAACCTTTCCTCGCAACACAGTGGAGAAAGAATTCACATAATGTAAAAATCGAGGTTTGAATTCCAAAATGTCATGGTTCCCCGAGAATGTCCAGCCGGAACAGAGCACGACTTTAGGGGTAAAGGGTTGGAGGTGCACCTCCCACCACAAAAGTCCGAAGCAAAACAGCACCATGTCACTCATCTTCATTGTCATTTGTCAAGTGATGATTTGATGTCAGATTGCTTCAAAAAAGTGCAACCTTACATCTCAACACGGTGCAGAGACTCACAAGGTCAAACCATCACCACACGTTAAAACACGTGTTCTACAACTTCCGACCGCAGTTCAATAAACTTGCCGATGATGTTGCGGGTAGACCGTAAGCTGTACCACTCTACCGAAGTTCTGTTGTGATCTCCACAGGCGTTATCTCCTGCTGCTCATTAAGCTTGAAATGAAAGGGACGGAAGTTCTCAAGCGAAGCATGTTCAGTTCTTCAAAAAATGAGGCTATGAGGCTACTTTGGGTCTCGCTTTCAAACGAGAGCGCATAAATCAAATCTGAAAATATCGTGCCTCCGTTGTGGCCTGCTTTTCACAGACGGCTTGCAAAAATCACGAGCCTTTTCTAAGTTGCAGCTGCAGAACGGGCACCTCCAAATACTGTACAAAGTGGCTGTACAAAGTGAACTAACTCCATCGTTGATATACAAGCTACTGCTCACTCTCACAACTTGTGTTCCTGTAATACTGCCATCACAGACATCACCCCAAAATCAGGCCAGCATTCCACACCTTAAGCTACCTCACCTGACCACGTACGGCACAAAAGCTCCTCGAGTCAAATCAATGGTACACATCTCCTATCTTTGATCGCCGACAATTACAAGAAGGGGCAGTGAAGATCCGAAGTAAAGAAGTGCCAAACCCAGAACTTATAAATTACGCCAAGTATAGAAAGTAAAATAAAATCAGCAGATCTTGCATCTGTGTTTCAAAAACGCGCTTCAGACGCTGACGTGGGGTGATTGATGTATCAAAATTACTCCCACAAGTGCTCTTTGCACGGTTCACATTCTATCTCGATATCGGAACCTTAAAAGAAACCGATGAAATCAAGTGCACACAGAGGCCTTTATGATAACGAGACATGAACCTCAAGCATCTATAACCCAGGAAACACTTTCGGCAGGAAACAAGTTGACAAACCAAGACGAAGGAGTCGCAAGGTTTCGGGGACAAATTTCCTGCTATGTATTAGACATACTACAACTTGCTAAACACATCCTACTTTGGCCTCATGAAAAAAAGTCTCACCAAAAGTCTCCAAAAACACATCATAAACCACACTTCGCTGATTCTACACTTTTTATTTTTCATCTATATACGCCTGATTTACAAGCGTTTCTACGTGACGGACAGAAAATGAAAAATATGGTACTCCGGGAAATATGAAGGAAAAATCGCACGTACTGAACTGAAAGTGATCCATCAAACTCACATCCATGTTGAGAAGCCAGTGGGACTCCCCACACTGTCACTCGTTCCGGTTGGAAGCATGCATAGAGGTTTCAATTCTCAGTAAATGACTGAGATTACGATCTTCCAACCGCTTCTGCTCCCAAAGCCCATCATGAAACCCAAAACAATATGATCGCTCAGCTTGCAGAGTAATAATTCCAACCCAATTGCACAAGCTCTGAAGAAAATCACAGAAAACTCTGACCTAGATAAAATATGGTTCAATCCATGTAACTTGACTCGACCACATCTAAGGTTGCATAGTATTAAAATGGCAAGGTGTGTGCTGGATGAGGGTGACGGCGCGAAAGAGAAACCAAGTGTTATTGTGTTTCGTCATCTCTACTTTTGGAGATATACAGATGTGTGACTACTTACTTACAATAATCACTCCAATCTTCCTAGAAAGTGTATGTCCAGAGACATTTAGCTCAAGTATAGAGAGTGTTAAAGTGATATATTTGGACAGACTATTAAGAAACTACAATCGTCCAAAGTAGGGCTACAATTCGGGCTAACAGACTGATTTTATAGAGAGGTCTGAGCATACCGAAAGACAGGCCCGATATGCCTCCCATTCTACCAAACATTCTTCTTTATCCCACTGCCCCTTCAGAAACTTATCCGTGTACCATCTGCAAAGCAGAAACAAAAACGATTATTCCAATTCAGTACCGTTACATGAGTGCAGTGAAACACCTAACGATCATGTTTCAGAGCATAAGGTGCAAGCGTAAGGGCATTCAGTGTACAGCTTCAGTACTCCACCAGTAGAGCGAATCAAACATCAATTTCGCTCAAATCATCGACATATGTACAAGAGTTTTGCCCTCCTTGCCGCACAATGCGCAGTTTGCGGCACGATTCCCCATCTTGCTCTTTTTGCGACTACGAAGGATGACCTCCATTCAAAACTTCAACTTGAAGCGCATTCCCAGACAAGGAGCACCATGGAGATAGAACTGGAAGATAAATACTGCGAGGTACAGAGTGGATACAGAGAGATCTGGATTGTGGTTTGCTTGATCCCCGTCCAATTTGTCTAAGCGACCAGTGATTGCCTAAGTACGTGAGTAAGTGTACGTATGAGACAGTGATGAAACTTGAGAGTGAAGTCAAAGTGGGCTCAATTCGAACTGTATCGAGATGACAGTATCATTCACTATTTCAAATTGAAAATTCGAAAGTGTCATTCAAATACGCTACCATCATTTACCTGAAGATTCGTTCGGGGCAAAACTACTTACACTGGGCCAAAGTGACAATCAATTACAGATACTTGACTCCACTGTCGCGCAATACAGTAATTCTAAATTCATCATCGCTACAAAAGTCATCATCCTTCAGAGTACATACGCTAATCGGTTCTATACAGGCTTCAGCCGAAACACGATTCTATCCAAGTAATTATATGTGCTGTTGACGTCCTGCTCCGAGCTGGGCAGTTAAAGAGAAAATCAGTATAGACGCCTCCCGCAAACCGACATTAGGTTACTTCCACAAGACGAAGAAGATCAGCAATAAATAACCGGAGCATTTCGAGGCTAAAAACGGCAATATCACCGATTTTACAGAAATTGCAATCAAAGCCAGCTTCTCTCATCTTGCACTCCCAAGCTGAGTTTGAAGAACATCCAATTTGTGACCATCGAGAGCCACTTCCTCAGTGCACTGAGGAAGTGGCTGATACAAGTTCCACGTTTAAGAGAGGTGAACATTAACTTTCTGGCTTTCAGATCATATACTGCAAACCCTACTCGTGTAGAATCAGTACTTTGTCAGCGTTCAAACCAAACAGAATGAATGACTGGAGAGACATATGGAGGTCCAGCAGCATCCATCCGATCGACCAGCTTGCTGAGACGTGAATGCATGAATTCGGAACGGGGTGAATAGACGAACGCAATGTCCCGATGTCGTAGAGCTCAGTGATCGTTCATCGGTGACTTGCACAAAGTGCAGACTTCCTGCAGCCATTTCACCAAACTAATAAAGACGAGCGACACGAGGATGAATGCAGGAACCAGCTCGCACCGGTTGAAGCAATCGTTGTAGGCCATTTTCAAAGCGGAGCAGCTCTGCATTTCGCCACCCTTCGATCGAGCACTGGCCCCGTCACCGTCCGCCTTCATCTCCAGCCGACTTCCCAGAATTCAAAGCTCATCGCCCTTAAACCCTCTCCCCCCACCGTAACCCCACCCACTCTGTCACCCTCCCTCACTCCCTCCCTCAATCTACAAATTCCGATCTGCAACCATCGATCCTCATCAACCCCAGCATTCTCCACATACTACATAAATTACAAACCTCTAAGCGGCTCCCACTGCCCCACCCTCGTCCACACCTCGTCCGCTCTACTTCTACTTCCCTTCCTTCACGGACACAGGATCCCCAACCACCGCCACCTCTAGATCTACCGCAGGGCACCAAAGCCTCTCTCTCTCTCTCTCTCTCTCTCTCTCTCTCTCCACAGAAGTCCTTCGGAAGCACCGACTGGCAGGCGAGGGAGGTGAGGGGAGGGGAGGATCTGCAGGCTCGCCGCACAGAGGGAGACAATCACGACTGCAATTCGCGCGGCGACGACATGAACATGTGAAGGATTGCGGCGAACAAACACTTCGATTGAGCTGGACCGAAAAGCACGCGAGCACGTCAGCTGATGGCCGTGGGCCAAGATAAGGGAAGACAGCACGTCATCCGCGAGTCAGACACTGGCAGTCGGTCGGTCAGTCAGTCAGTCAGTCAGTCAGTTTGTTTCCCGTGGTACGTCTCTACGTCTCCCCCCCGCCCCCCGGTTCCCCTCTCCCGTGGACGCTCAGCTCACTCCGCTCGCGCCACCTACCCCCCCTGCTGCCCCCCTGCCCCCGCCCTGTCCAGTACGGTCCTCTGTTCCCCCCCTCCCATGGCGGCAGCAGCAGCAGCAGGAGCATGAAGCAGAGTCTCGGAGTGTTGCTCGTGGGCCAAGAATTTTGCCATTCTGCTGCTGCCGAGGAGCTGAAAGGCTCTCGTCCTGCTGGAGAAATTGGGCGGGCGAGCAGAGGACGAGGGTGGTCGAGAGGAGCCATGTCATGGAGGAGTCCCGCGGATTGAAGACTCGTCGGAATTATCGTCGACGGCACTGCTCGCATGGCGGTGATGATGAGGAGGAGGACGAGGAGGACGACGATGATGAGAAGGACGAGAAGGACGAGAAGAATTTTGGTTTGAATTTCGAGTCCAGAGCTGGCGAGGATGGGAATTTGAAGCAGCCGTCAGCCTCCTCTGTGATTCCTGTCGATGAAGCCGTCGGGGCTTATGATTCAGCGTTGGGTTCTGTCGATGGAGGATCGCTGTCAGCTCCTCCTCCTTCTCCTCCTCGGGAGGCATCGGGGGCTCAAGGAGTTGGCAGTGGGCGGAATGGAGCGCGCATTGCGAGTGGAATTGGGTTCCACATGCTCAGAGCGATGGGATGGGTAAGATGCAGGCCCAGTTTCAATTCCATCTACCGCGGCCATCTTTCATTTTTACGAGAGAATGTTGGAATTGCTGCGCAAGGTCGGTCGAGGAGTGAGTCCCTTCGTGAGAACACGATTGGGATTCCCTTCTTGGATCGAATTGGTGGCCAATTTAATTTATCTCTTGATTTTGAAGCAAGAATTTCCTCTTGAATTGCGGAGATGGAACCGACGATGAATGTTCGGTATATGTTGACATTTGCTCCACCCGTTCTACGTACAGCCATAGCAATATTCATACAATTCTGCACTGATAACAATCCTGAAGGTGAGGTGGTCGAGAGATTTATATCCGAATTTTCCGTGCCAATTTGGGCATCAATTCGCTCCAATTGCTGCGTGCTCCAATCATCCCTTCAATTTCCACTTCTTACACTTCTCACCGAACAATTTAATGCGATGGTTCCCTTCGGTCCGGCTCGTCCAGCAGCGCTCTACACTTCACCTCGATTTTAACCTAGCGCACTGCAATCCAGCAGCAGACCCGCAGTTCCGAGAATTTCAACTCATCAGTCAGTGCAATTTTCCAGGTCGAGTGAAACTCAGAATCCATAGCATCAAAGTCTGAGCAGATTCTGACACGAAAGTTGTTCCGATGTTACCTCTTGCAGACCGAGAACACGGGGCTCGGGCAATCGAGGAAAGGCATGGTCGACCCCATTCTCCCCACATCCAAAACTGGAAACCTAGGTATGAAATTACACTCCCGTGCTTGAATCAGATCAATTTCCTCATTCTGCAGTGAAATTCTCGCTTGCCCGCTCGCTCGCTCGCTTACACCCCACCCCACAATGGTGAATTTCGTGGTCGCTTGATGCAGGTTTAGGGTTCAACGCGAGTTCGACGTCCGTGCACGACACTCAGCAAGAAGCGATCAGACAGTTGCAGAAGGCGAAGCGAGAAGAGCGCGATCGGAAACTCAAGCTGAAGGTAATAATTACACTGTCGCGATGATCACTATGGCAAGGAACGAGCGTCGAGGTTTCAATCGAATGCGCAAGTATTCCAAAATTCGAAATGCCGGAGTTGAGGTTGAAGTTGAGGGTTTAGTGTCGATGCAGATGTCGACCAAAATGGCGGTTCTGCCCACGAGGGAGTTCGCGAGTCGTCGATAAGTGAAGACATTGAGCCTTAGAGAACCTCCCCTACCTGTGGGACATGGTACGATACCCGAAGACCAGAGGAAGGACAAATTGCGCTTCTTCGAGTTTCGAAAAAAAGCAGAACGTCAAATCTCCTCCTCGCGTGCAATTTCAGCTGCGAATTGCTCGAAAGAGCCCAATCAGTTTAAGTAATCGGTCGAGCGAGCATCTGTGCTTCTGTCTCGAGCCAGCCAGCCATGGCTTTAAAAAGGCCAGGAAGTGAAGCTCGCACTCTTCGCTTCCATTTATGTCGAATTTCATCTTCAGCAGTCTTCGAGGCTGTAGAATCTCCTCCGCCCCGCCCGCCCGCCCAAAAGGCAGGCAGCTCTCGCCCAGAATTTCACCCACCAGTCCCAATCAGTCGCCCACTGTACCGCAGAATTACCCGACTCCTGCTCCTGCTCCTGCGGCAGATCCACCACCATCACCATCACCACCGGTGCAGCTTCTCTTGCAGCAGCTGAAGCAGAGGAAGACCTTTTCTGTGTCCAGTTGGCTCAACCAACTCTTTGGAATCTTTGCCATTGACCCTGAAAGGAAATTCAAGTCCTCCAGGATTGCTCGTCCGAGGACTTCAATGGCTTTTTCTTCTTAAATTGCAAATCCTTTCACTTGGATTCTCAGTTGACCAAGGTCACCGAGGATTCGATTTGTTTGACAGTTTTTCTACGAAAGAATATTGGCGCTGTGAGCGCTTCAGTATCCTCCTTGCAGCCATCCTCCATTTCTCCGATTTGAATATTCTCATCTTCATGAGAGTTATTCGGGTAGAAAGGTGTTTCCAGATTGCCCGCAGGGATTTGTGGATTCATGGATTCCGAATCCAGAGGCTCTGCTGAGATTGAGGTCACAGTACTGTGGACGTGGAGGGAAACATTCGAAAATTCCTCGATCCGATTCTTCGGTACCTCATGAGTATGCGAGACTGCACAATGTCTCGCCACATGGTTGCTGTCATCGTACGCTCGAAGGAGGACGATTCTACTTCTGTTCATGTCGTCGTTCAGTTCAGGCTGGGCTTCTCCGCAGTCTGTCGGTATCTGACCACATCACCTCGACGGATTCGTGATGAAACTCCGTGGTCGATGGAACGAGGGCAGAAGTAGAAGAATCATCAGAGAGGATAGGTCTCTCCTGATTGAGCGGCTCGGTGTCGAGACCATTTAGAGGTTCGGGATTTCTCCTGGGCTTGCGACTGATTCTGTTCCATGCCAGAATTAGATTGTCTTCCCTGGCGATAAGCGAGAGGAAGAGGACATAGTCATAGTCATCTGCCTGCTCTGCTCTCATAGTCATCTGCCTGATTCAATTTGGACATTGACGATGGACGCACTTGTTGCCTTGCTTGATTATTACTCCGCCAGTAGCACCCCGGAATGTGAAACGGCCCCAATTCGATCGGCATGTAATGTCGAGGAACAATCGCCTGATTGCCTGCTTTCATGCAACCAAAGCTGGCACGGGCGGGCGTGCGACCCAATTTGCTCTTTGACCACCTCTCCCTTGACTGATTGCCGACCTTTCACGAAGACTGGTTCCGTTTCCGAGCTTGATGCCAGCAGCGGGTACGGAACAGCGGGAGATTGAGCATGAATTGTGACGACGCTCATCAATCACAAGCTTGCTCGAGCGTGGTCAAATCGTACGGAATTGATTTCGAGGGACTGCCATCATTCGAAAGCTCGAGGAATTTGCTGTCAAATTGTACGGATTTCATGTCGCTGCGTGCGACAGCCACTGAAAGCTCTTCTTCACCTGCCGGTGAGTGGGCACATCGGTGTGACTGTGACTCTCTCCCTCCCTCCATTCGTGTGAGAGTCACGCGGGTGTTATGCGATCGATCTGATTTCCTCCATGTCCTTCCGCTCGCTCGCTCTGTGTGTGAGTGACATTCGCGCTCTGCACATGGATGATGATGAGAATCATGATGATCCTGATGCGTGTACATCAAGCTCCGAATTGGCCCCGTGCATATTAACCTCAGAGCCCGGAATGGACGACGCTCACAATTGGGATGAGCTTCGTTCGTTCTTCAATTCGGGAAGTTCTGCAGCACTTCCCACTCTTCTTCTTTGGGAGTATGAGCTCGAGCTCCGGAATCGAGAGAAAGATTGTCGTTTGACGAAGATCACTGGGTTCAGTTGTAGGAGTAGATGCTCAGCTTTGAGCTCTAATCCACTGGGAATCCACTCCCCGAGCTCTGCTTCTGCATTTCAGGGCACTCGTTCGTAGGTTGGAATCAGGGCCACGATGAAATTGTGTCGTGCATCGAATCTGGTTCTCTGTATTTTGATGTCCTTAGAAATGTGGCTGCACTCGGGTGCAGTCTCTCTGCCTCTCTCTGTCTCCTCTCGATGGATTGTGGATGCGTCTGAGACGAGGGTGAAGCTCGCTTGTGTGAGCTGGGCCGCGCACTTGGAGACCATGGTGCCCGAGGGTCTCGACAAGCAGCCTCTTGCCACAATCACGGGGCTCATTGCTTCATCGGGATTCAACTGCGTTCGTCTCACTTACGCGACGTACATGTTCACGAGGCAAGCTCTGGGTGGGCAGACTGTTGTCGAGTCGCTGGAGTCCTGGGACCTGGATATGGCCGCCAAGGGAGTCATTGCTCACAATCCGGGTCTCGCTCACTTGAGCGTCGTGGAAGCTTACAGAGAAGTCGTGAAGGGCATTGCAGCGAAGAATCTGATGATCGTCCTCGACAATCATATGAGCTCCCCGGGCTGGTGCTGCTCCGATGATGATGGAAATGGCTTCTGGGAAGACAGGTTCTTCGATCCCGAGGAGTGGCTGAGAGGCTTGCAGATCGTTGCAGACCTCGCTCTCGATTGCACGAACGTCGTGGGGCTGGGTCTCCGCAACGAGCCTCGAGGACCTCGTCAAAATGCAGCAGCCTGGCGCAAATATATGGCGGTATGTGGCTGCTCTCGTGTGTCGTGCATCTCGTTGAGATCTTTGAATTTTGCAGTGATGCTATTCCAAACTAGAATGCTGACCTGAAGTACAGCTTCTAAAGAATGTGAGCTCGGAGGGGTTAGTCATATGGCTGATGATTAAGGCTGATAAGTGAGTGATCGCCACCTCTTTTTTCTTTCTGGCTGCAGGAGGGCGCTGAGATTGTTCATGGGCTGAATCCGAACGTGCTGATTTTCATGTCCGGACTGAGCTATGCCTCTGACCTCACTTTCCTCTACTGGGAGCCACTGGCATTCAAGAACCAGTTTCTGCGCAGCAAGCTCGTTTATGAGGTGCACTGGTATGCGTGGTCCTCTGGAACAGGGTACAGCAATGGCAATCCGAATACGAATTGCGCTGCTGACATCGGCAGGTTCATGAACGAGACGGGATTCCTTGTTGCTTCCAATCACGCCTACACCTCACCTCTAGTGGTATCGGAGTTCGGTATGTATCTGAACGGGGAAAGTCCCGGAGACGATCGCTTCATGGACTGCTACTTTGCACTGGCTTCAAAACTGGATCTGGACTGGGTTTTATGGGCCCTCCAAGGAAGCTACTACCGCAAAGATGGGCAGGCAGACTACGAAGAGGTTTATGGTCTGCTAACAAGGACTTGGGATAGAGTCCGTAATCCCAGCTTCCTGCAAAGACTACGGGGTTTGCAATATCCTCTACCAGGTGGGTCTTGAAATTTTTTTCATACGATGCTAGATTATCGTGCTGCTATACCTGTTGATTGTCTCTGTTTCATACTCGGTTGCATAAATAAACTGCTACTTCATATCTAGATGTAGTGTGCTGCATTCTACAAACCTCATTTGGCGCTGCGGAAGAAGTCTGTCTAAATCTCAGGGTCTACAAGGGCAGTGACCATGGGACTTTCTAATCTGATATTTATCAGAATATACTTCACTAGTCCATAGCTAGCCTCTGCTGCTTGTTCGGGACTTGTTGTAGCACTGACTTTGCAGTATCCTTATTGTAGCTCATCAGTTCTGGGCCAGATGATCTGATCGTGTTCCTGATCACTTTATCGGTGCTTACACACTTTCGACTAATCTATTTTCTTTGCGCAGGACCATCGAGCGGTGACGGAACTGTATATCGTGCTCTATTCCATCCTGCCACAGGCTTGTGTGTCTCTCCAGATTCTGATTCTGGTCTGCTGCTTTCGCCATGTTCGAGTAGCTCTAGCGTGTGGGCCTACGACTCGAGTGCGGATACGATGCTCAAGCTGAAGGGGTCTAGCGCTGTAGTCAAAGCTACTGCAGAAGGCAGTGTTGCAAAGCTTGGGAGCGGGGTAGATTGTGAGGGATGTCACTGGACTTTAGTCGGTGACACCAGACTCCAGTTTACAGTGTATGCGGGAGGCCGAAGCTTGTGTCTGGATGGAAAATCTGGTTCTGCTATCACCACCCGAGACTGCCTCTGTGTGAGTCGATATGAGTGCGAAGGAAACCAAGTGGTACCAACGAGTCAATGGTTTCAGTTCATCGAGGCCCTGAGTCCTCTTGGCCCGATGAGAACGTGACCAACGCCTGGAGAGTCTTGAACCTTGTCTGACAGAGGACTTACAGGAGTCGTGCCACTCAAATCTGGTCTCCTGGATGTATGCCCTGGACATGGTTAGGAATTCCAAAGAATCTCAGAGAATGTCCGAAGATCAGGACTGACTCCCAATCTGCTCAGCTCCCAGGCCATGTTGGCCACTCTGTAATATACTCTCAGGAGCTGAATCAGAATAGTCAGAATAGTCCAGTCAAAATAGTCAGATTGCCCAGCTTAGAGAGGGCTGACTGATAATGAATGTAAGTTTTCGATTATCGACAATTAGGTGCCTCTCTAGCTTTCTTGCATTACATGCAAGATACTGATACCGTTCAGCAAACGTCACATACAGCGACACATTGTGAAGTAACCAACGAACTCGTTGGTGTTTCAGTTCATCAAGTTTCTCCTCGGTGGCAGAAACTTTTCTGAGCCCCTTCCTCTCCATCTGCTTAGTGGCTTGATGCAGTAAACCTGTCTGAAGAGACCAGATCACTTGTTTCATAGCGCCTTGGCACCAGCAGGTCCATACACTGCCGAGATTGTGCCTTCTCATGGAATCTCTACTATGAAAGGCCATTGTCCTTCATCGTTGCCAGATGTTTTCAGAGATTGATTCGAAAAGAACTTGAACGGACTCAGTCATTGTCGTGTTTCCTTTCCTGCAATATCAAGTTGTGGGCGGTCAAATGGTGAAGACAGCATGGGCATTGAATTTTATTTGGGAAGAGGTGTTATGTGTGTTGATGTATTTGTTGTATAATGGTCTCAAGTTTATGATCCTTACAGCTGGAGAAAGCACAAGAAGCGGAAGAAGACGACGTTTTTATGAGAGAAAGTTTCATAGCTGTGTCGGCTAATTCTGATGGACACCCTCTGGAGTCAAGCTCTTCTTCATTTGTGGAGGGTGCTACAGAGTCCAAGACGCCATCGACTCTGTCAGGATCAGGTTTGAAAAGCTGTTCCTCTTGTCTCCATCAAATTGAGACTTTTGTCTTCGAAGGTTTCCATATTGTGATTTGCTCTCGAAGTATCTTGGTACATTCCGTCCAGTAGAAAATAATGCTGAATGTCCAGTAAAGCCTGACATTCAGTTGACAGTCGGAATTTGGTTCATGTCTGCTGAAAATGTAATCGGATTGCATTGCCCTCTCAAGCATTCCCTATATATCTGATGGGGATCAAAAAGTTCACTGTTGGATAAATTCTCTGGGCTGTGAAGTCGGTCCATTCATTTGAGACGTGCACGTGGCAGGGCTCAAGCTTGAAGAGGTCGGACGATGTCCTCACTGCAGACAACGCTTCGAATCAAAACAAGGTTTGAAGTCGCATGTGCAGGCTCGCCACGCAAAGCTTCTTCGAGCAACAACGAGGAGGCCGTTCAAGAAAGAGAGGAGACGGAAGGGTGCTGCTGAAAAACAGTCAGGCCAACGGGGAGCAGCGAGAGCTCTTGCACCGGTGAAGCAGGATTTCTCTGTCTACGACTGAGGACGACGCCTCCTCGTGTTCTCGACCTTCCTGAGACTCGATCTCGATCATGGCAGCTGTGAAGTGATTTTGGTCGTCAATATGTGGACTCCCTTTCAATGCCTCTATGAATATATAATCCCTTTCATGTCTGAACATCCAATCAGTAATTATTCACATGCCAAAGTGTTGTTCGTCTGAACTGCGACACCTTGACTATCTGTCAAAATCTCTACATGATTGACTTCGAGATTCTGTACTTCATGCAGACAAGAATCACACAAAAGAGCCTGACAGTAAATGTAGATTTCGAGACATGGACGTGATTAACGAGAGCAAAGTGAAGGGTAGGTGGTAAATGACACCATCCATCGACACTATTGGACTGTTCTCTCATGGTCATAGCTAACTACGTCACCGCGCATTACTGGTATGTCCTCACATGCATGGAATAGGATAGGACACAGCTAACTTCCCACTTAGTAGTCATGAATTACAAACATTATAAATACACCACTTTGCATCTAAGAATCTTAAGTGACAAGTCGGATAATTTTGCTACTGGTAATTATTCTCGGACACATTTTCAATCAATCTGCCATCCTCGACTGGAAAAAGATTATCATAACTTGATAATCATTCCTGTACACCTTGGTTGCTTGCATGTACGGGTGTGAATAATTTTTTCTTACATTTTTGGAGAGTTACCTTGTACTCCAAACCAAACAGAAATTCATGCCAATTTTGATTTATATGAAAACATATAATTTCATGTATCGAGATATAGCGAAAATTGTTATATTAAGAATAATGTCACGTAGAAAATAAGTAGATAATTGATCACTCAAATGGCGGAATATAGTGAAATAGATGACATATGAAGTACTTGTAAGGAAAGAAGAATGAATGAATTATTGTTGGATGATTAATAGTGAGGTTATTCGTCGAAGCAATGGAAAAAGTTCGACCCCGTACACTTCGACCGAGAGACAAATAACTGAAAATACCTTCCGCGAGAAGTGACAAGGAAGAAATGGATGTGGCGGGGGATGGTGGGGAGAGGGGCCTACGCACGATACTCTAATTCTCCGCCCGTGGAAATGAGTCTTCGAAGTGGCCCGATCGGTGGAGGCAGTTGGATTCAATGAATGCCGGAAGCGAATCTAGGCCCGAAGTTGGGCCGATCACACTTTTGGTGTGAGGTCTGTTCCCCAATTCTGTACAAGCCAGCGAGATGTTTCCCAGCGATGCGAATCCCGACGCAGGCAGGGCCTCCGGAACATCGCACACTCTTCTCACTTCTGACACATCCCGCAATTTGGTCTCGGCCAGGGGCCACTGCCGGCCTCCTCCCCCTACCCCCACGAAGCGCCAGACTGCGAGAAGAAGAAAGTTGTCTGCGGGGGCAGCGGATCGGCTGCTGGATGGCCTAGGTCGCAGCCAAGGCGGCAGCACCCCCAAGCCCCTTGCAGTTACGCTGGCTGGCGGGAAGGCGGAATGGCGGGAGGGCTAGCGGTCCCACAATTCGGTTCTCGCGACATCGTCTGGGCTTGCGTGCTCGCCACGCCCCAAGCCCAGCCCCAGCCCCGGCAGCGAGAGAATGCATGCGCTGGGTTGCCGCTCGCGTTGCGGAACTGCATTGCGAGACGAGGGCCGGGGACTGGACTGGGCTTGACTGGGGGCTTGACTGGCCTGGGGGCAGGGGCAGTACAGAGGGACAGGGAGGGGAACAGCAAGCGACCCCCAGCGGGAGCGGGGGAGCGACGGGGGCTCAGTCAGTGGCTGGCCTAGCACTTTCTTGAGAAGAGAGACCTGCGGCCCCTTGCGGGATGCCGATGCCGATGCGCGGACCGGTGGAAGACAGGCAGGAGAGATAGAGGAACAGGGCGGGGGGGTGAAATTATGAGATTCTTCGAGCGCTGGGGGCTGCGGGGGCTTCTTTACTCCTGGCAGAACTACTGCGCTGGCTCTGCATTTACTTCTGCCGCCGAGCGCCCTCAGCTCAGAACGGGGCTGGAGACGACGGCGGGGGGAGGATGCAAGCAACGGGTCGCAGTGCGTAATCGCCCGCAGTAGTGGCATAGCCCCCGCCCCGTCTCTGGATTCGGTCTGGCCCTGCCCCTGCCCCTGCCCCAATCCTGCCGCTGACAGGCGCTCTCGACACTTTTGACGGCCTCGACGGTAACTCCAGCGCTAACGTGCGGGGGAGGGGGCTGGGCTTTTACCGCCGATTTGGAAGCTTGGAAAGAAGCGCGCGGCGGAGTCCGAGCGAGCGTTACATTTTGACATTCGCCCGCTGCAATTTAGCCGGACCTCTCTTGCTTTCAAAGTTGGCCGAGGCGAGGCGATAAGCGCCGGGGGAATGGGTTTGTGGTGACGATGCTGGGGGACGGTGCCTGGGCCTGAGGTTTGGAGTCGTCGGGGTTAGTGAATTGCTCACTTATTGCCGGGGGGCTGCTGCTGCTGCTGTCCAGGACGAAGTGGGGGCTGGGGTTGGGACTGGGGCTCGCTTGCCTGCCTGCCTGCCTGCCTGCACGAGGCGCAGTGGGGCTGATTTGATGGCCAGTGGGGGAGGGGCTTTCCGCTGGTATGCGATTCAAACCCATCCCCATCCCCATCCCATCAGCTCTGCAGCATGGTGACAGTGCAAGCGTGGAAGGAGAGGGAAAAAGGGAAAGGGTGGGCGAGGAAAGTTCGAGGGGGAGGGGGAGGGAGAGGGGCGGGGGCTGTCTAGGGGCTTGGAGAGTGGCTGGTTTTTGTGGCGTGGTTTCGTCGAAGGAGGTGTAAAACATGGAAGCGCCATCGGTGAAGGCGAGAATTATGGAGAAGGCTGGGCAGGCCCAAGCTCAAGCAACAGCAGATTTGGTCGCCGATCAGCGGAAGATGCTGAACAATTTGGAATTCAGCGACGTCGTTTTTCTGTGCGGAGATGGGCTCAAGGTGCACGCCTGCCGCATCGTCCTGTGCGCGCGGTCGCCCGTGCTCAAGAGCATGCTCATGAACGGGATGGTCGAGTCGCGGCTGTCGGAGATCTCGTTGCCCGAAATCGACTCCCCCGTGCTGCTGTCCATCTTCGAGTTCCTCTACACCGGGACCATGGTGGAGCACGCCCCCGTCAGCTGGCGCAAAGCCTTCGAGGTCATCAGCGCAGCGCGCTTCTTCCTCCTGCAGAAGCTCGAGGAAATCGTCTGGGAGTTTCTCGTCGATGGCACCTTCGACACACCCATCGACATGACGGTCGCCGCCAGCAACCTCTCCGTCGCCATGGACTTCCCGTCCATCAGCGATTCCATGGAGGCCATTCCTCTGGAGCTCGTCAGAATTCTCAGCTCCAAATGCCTGGAGCCCGTCCATCTGCGCAACTTGTCCGGCAAGGCCTTTCAGTTCTTCCTGTCGAAAACCAAGAAGGAGGTCGAGGAAACAGGAAGTCCCATTTTGTCCTTGGGTGAGTACCTCCGTTTCCGGCAGATCATTCTGTGGTGCACGTGCCATGTCTCTGAGGAGGAGGAGGCAGAGGAGATTGTGAGGCCGTATCTGCCGGACGCCAAGAAAGCTCTGCATCTGCTCAAAGACCAAAACATGGAGTTCGCCTCCCCCATCCAGGACGCGTGCCCCGAGGAGGGCAGCTCTCAGTACGAACAATTCTCCCTGCTCAAATCCGAGATCGCCAGCTCCGTGGCCAGTTTGATCTCGATGGTCGATCTTCGGCGTATCCATCCCGAGCTTCTCATCAAGGTCATCGAACCTTTGGAGCTCATCCCCTGTGTTAACTTCATGGATGCGCTGCGGTTCCATGCCCTGCAGAGGCCCAGGGTTGCGAAAGGCACCTGGGAAGAAGGGGCTCATGCGAGTTTCTACCGTATCGGCAGAGATCGGTCTGTGATAGAGAAGTGCGACTTCGGCACAGGCTTCGCCCGAGCTTCCAATGCAATTTGTCAGCCCTATGGTATTTACGAGTGGGACATCGTTATCGAGGAATTGTGCTACCAATTCTGCGAGGTGGGTATATACAAGGTCAGTAGTCTGAGCTCGGGCAAGCCCAATTTCAACGGGGCCAGCCTGACCCAGCAATCCACAGGATGGGCTTTGAGAATGGACGACCGGGGGACTCTCATAAACCAGTGCAATGTTCTCGGATTCCCATGGATGTCGTACGGCAAGAAATTCGGCTACGCAGACGCCAGGGTCCGAGTGTCGCTGGACATGTTCGAACGTAGCTGTTCTTACTCCATTGACAGGCAGAAGTTCGGAGTTGCTTGGAACAGCCTGCCGGAAGGAATCTACTATCCGGCCGTCTCTCTAGGGTCAGGCACGCTGGGGAGAGTGCGCATTGAGCTCGTCAGTGGATTCGATCTGCTATGATAGCGTCGGTCGATCGATGAAAACATCTTCCATCCCATTAGCGGACCGATCTGACCCGATTCTCTGTGAATATCTCACTCGTTTCCGACTGGCCGGCTAGCTTGAGATCGTTTGTACAGCTGTAGACTAATTAGTTTAATTATTCAGTCTAGAGGGATAGCCCCGGTGCACAGTATCAAGAGCTCGATCTGTGATCGAGGAAGAAGGTCTGAGGGCCAAGAGAACCCCCTTGAGCTTGTATAGGATTTGCTTTGTGTTCCATGTAAGGTTTGGCGAGGCTGGGTGCTATCTATAAGAGGTGACAGGATGTTGGAACTCAGTGGTTTGGACTTCACTTTGAGCGCTCAAACGACGTTCGGCTGGTCTCTGATCTGGCTAAGCTCCTTTAGGTCGTTCTCCGATTTTAGATGTTCCTGACAAGGCCAGAGAAGAAGAAGAAGAAGAAGAAGAAGGTGAATGTGAAGAAGAAGCATGTAAGTTGAAATGCCATCATCCTACTACAGCAATTGATTTTGTGTGGGAGACTCATTCGAGCCAGGCTTTTTTGGTGACCACATGCCCCTACGTATGTGCACGAGAATTTTTCTCGGTCCTTTGACTTCTGAACTTGCTGCGTGTTAGGTCAATTTGATTGTTGAGATATGTAGATCCAGAATCCTCAACTTGATGCCTGAAGTGCACGAAGCTGAAAGATAGGTAGGTCAAAACCTTGATGATCCTTCTTTTGAGGAGTCTCGCGTGTCTCTGAGTCTCGGTGCGCTCAGGGACGCAGAGCAGCAACCGGAGCAGCTCGAAGAGAGAAGCTCCTAGGCCATCCGAGCTGATACGATGCCAGTTCTCGTGCAGCAGCCATTCACACCTCGATTCAGTCTCGAAAATCAATCAGCAGCTCTTTCTCTTGAGGACGTCGATCTGGATGCCTGAGATTCGAGGCTTTGCAAACCAATCATCTCCCTCACCCCAGCTTCAAACCCAGCCCAGTTGATGCCATTCTGGTAGTTAGGATGGGAGCAACTGCGGTGGCTGTCAGTGTCTATCCTCCTCTTTTTCCAGTTGACTACCCGCTCAAGAGGGTGTGAGCTTTTACTGCATATCACTACTGCTTGTAGCATTTGTGACATTGGTGGCAGTCGATCAGCTTGCTGAACTGTGAACTTGACTAAAAGCTGGGAACGTCTTATTCGTCATCGATTTGTTGATCAATCCTCCATGTGGCGGAGGCCTGTCAGTGGTGGTGGTGGCTGTCTGGCTGAACCACCAGGCAACAGGCATGTTCAAGTTCTGTGATCTCCTTGATTCGCAGTCATAACTGCAGCATTTTTCTTCCACATAGAAGATGATCCGGAACAGTTGTGGATCTATCAAGTCCATGTGAGCTCATCAGAGAGAGAGAGAGAGAGAGAGGTCGCGCTAATGTTTTGACACGGCCTTCATCTCTGGGTTGATTTGTGTGTCTGCGCCGATCCGGTGCACGACCTTACTTGCCTGCTGATGTTCTGTTTACGAAGTAAACTAGAACCTTCGTGGTTTCTTAGATTTCACTGGTTGTGAAGTCAACTTGTACAGATGAAGCTGTGACATTATCTTCCTGCCTCTCGAGTGAGGTCAGAGATATGCTGAACTCTCAGAAGCAAATATGCCTCATTTACACCTGCTGCGAATATCTGGCATAAGATGTGTCCTGGAGGCTTGAGACGAAGTCTCGAAACCTAAGCTTCTCTGGTGGCTGAATTGACGAAAAGAAGCGAGTGGAATCAAACACGTTTCTGGACGTAACCTTCCTGCTCACCCCCCCCCCCTCGAGTAGGGCTCCTCGTGCATTCACCAACAAAAAGATCTCATGGTCTTGCAAGCAAGGGGTAGACCGCGACCGAATCCGGGAATCCGAGTTTCGATTCGCTCAACGCTTGCTGGTAAACCATATCTTCCGATACCCAGAAAGAAGGCTCAGGATTGAAGAAGTCTCGAGGCCGGCAAATGAAAAAGCTCTGCCAAGTGTCTATGGGAACAATCCTCGATCATTACGGATGGATTTCAGTCTATTTCACCAGAGTTGACCTTCTCATTAAAATACCATTTCTCCACCAAATAACCGCTGTCCTCAGCAAGTGGATAACAGCACCCCCGTTTTGTCGCCCAACTCTCAGGCGGTCGAATCCGAATGCAAGACAGAAGACACGAGCAGCGAATGGCAGGGCTCGCCTCCGCCGAGGATCTCTGCTGGCGAGCAGAGGCAGAGGAGAAGTGAAGGGAGGGCCTGGGGGAAAGATAGATTGTTGGCGAAAGATTCGCATGAGCGAGTTCTGTCTTTGCGGCCGATTCAGAACTTTCCGGAATACACGACAAGGAACGAACGACCTCCTCCCCTTTCTTTGTCTCACTTGTTGTGCTGCGCCGGATGACGGACTTCCGGTTCCTAGATGTTCGTTGCATAAAGTAACCGGACGTCGCTCCGTAGGAGTGGACCTGGGGATACAAGGTCATTTGTCTGTTACAAAATGCCTTTTCCAGGTCGTTAATTGGCTGTAGTCAGAAAGTCTTTCCATCATTAGATCGTCTTACGGACATTAATTTGGTAAAATTCGAACATCGCTGATCGTGTCGAGACCCGGTCATAAAAGAATCTTCTTACTCAAAAGTGCATATTCTTGAAACACAAGTGTCACCGCCGGACCACGGTCGCCCATGTATCATTCCGAACTAATTATGTACTTTCTTCTTCAAACCTATAAAAAAAAAACCTAAAAGAATCTGATAAACTGGATTGTATTCTTATGTTTCGAATCAATCACTGTTTTTCAACAATATCAATATATTAGAGTTCAAATATTTTACACAGAGATATTTTAATACTAAAATATCTCTGCTGTTTAGTACGTTGATCTTTTGTTCATGAATTCGTCAAAATCCATATTTTCACACATTCCTAAATTTGGATTAATATGTCATTATACTAGAGTTCAAACATATTACTGTCTATATTCATAGAATAATAACTCTGTTCAATAGTATGCTAAGCTCTTGTTTATTGATCTCACATTGAAGTTTTCTTCATTTAGATTTTAGCCTACATTTCAATAACAAGCTATGACTATTAGTAGACTTTAGAATTTAGATCTTTTGCATTTATCATATGAAAAAAGTATCATGAAAACTGAGATTTTGGAAATGAGTGAAGGTACATGATGGAGTGTCTTGGTGTTATCTCTTATTGTCTTTCTATCTCACAGATTTCCTCGTTTTCCAGAAATGGTTATTTGAGTTGGTCTGCATAGTTTTCTTTTTTCTTTTTTAACATCCACTTTAATATTATGCAGAAAGCTCATGATTGGATAAACTGAAGTAATATGCACTCTATAGTTAGAATTTTGTTTGAAGATTTAAATCATTTAGTGGCATTGATTTTGAAAAGTTTTCATGATGCATATATGACCCTTAATTTTCACATATGATTCATTTCATGAATACTTGTAGCCATTTCATCACTAAATATGTTCTTCTTGCTACAGCTAGATTCTTTGACGTACAAAAAAAAATATGTGACTTAAATTTGATTCAAATTTAAACGTCTGATTTATCTCAATGAAGACGGTATAGTATCTAAAAATCGCCCGACTCCTTGCACTGTGATCGAAGAAAACAGAGGCAACAAATCCTACAGCCAAAATTCGCTGTTAGAAGAAAAGGAAAGAAAAAAAACGCGCGAAATTTTAAGTATCACTGAACAAGGTTCCATTCCTTGCGCTGTGATCGAAGGAGACGAGACAACAATATCTGCAACCAAGTCCGCCGAAAGAAAAAAACGAAACTGTCATTTTAGCATAATGAACTTGGTTCAATTGGTGCTATGATCGAAGAAAACAGAGAGAACAAAGTTTACATGTAAAATTCGCCCGACTCCTTGCATTGTGATCGAAGCGCGTGAAACTTTAATTTTAAAACATAAATTAAAACTTAAAGTCTAGCAAGTTCAGTTGTAGCTTTGTTTGTTATTATTTTCTATTAAAAAGATCCACTTTCTACATTTAATTCTATGCATAAAACTTTGAGAGGTTTGGAAATATGAAATAGAATATTTTATCCACATTAACACAAATTCACACATGTAATCAAAAAATCTGCGAGTTTAATACATGATGAATTTTAAACTGTGTCCATGCATATGTTTCAAATAACATAAAAATCTGTAAAATGAAAATTTGTCATTGGTTACTACGATGAAGACATATTTGAAATCATTCGATGAGTTTTATAGCAAATATTTGATCACAACATAATCATGCAACATTCTTCATACTTCTACCTTATATGTATCCAATTGTTTGAAAACTTCAAATCATGAGATCGTGAAATAATAATTTTATATTGAAAAAATTTTGTGTCAAATCTAAAATTTAGAACTATTTCAAAGAGTTCTCTAAATTTTTCTAAAAAAATTTGTTAAATTTCCTCTGTATAGCTCACAGAAATTTTACACATAAATTCATATCCCAATAGATAGCTTTTAATAAATGAATCATGTATATCTTTGATTATATCATACAAAATCATAAGTATTGGCTTACATGAAAAATTGAAGAAAAATAACGTACTTATTCATTTCCTATCAAAATTCAAATTTGTTAAAGATGGATTAGACGGCACTTATAACACTTCAGGCAGGTTTAGCATACTGATCGGCTTTATGATTGAGTATTTATATTGTAGATTCTTTTTTGAAAAAGTATGTATCTTTCACATGTACGAGAGAAACATGAGCACATAGAGTACAAAGGAGACTTGTTGTACAATAGAAGGAAAGACCTTAGCAACAATGTCTTCTCTATGCTCATCGATTACACCAGTATTCAACACTTTATGTAAATGGATCCACAAAAAAAAAATTTAAGATTTTTTTTTATGTTACTCAACCACTATTTTAATATTAAAATTCTCTACAATTCTGCTCTAAGAGAAATTTGATCTCATGAATTTCGATTCTGCCATGCATCAAAATTTATGAACATAGATCTTTTGTCAAAAAAATTTATCAATAGGCTCATATTTTTCCAGGCATCAGATATTTATTTATGAATATTGATTATTTGTTACATCAGTGCTCGTTGATTTGCATTAACTTCTTCGTTAAGAACATAAGGTTGTGTATTGGCTGAGTTCATCCTCCTGCATCTTCAAAACTAACATGTGAGTGAAGACCATCTTCACATAACAGATTTTCATATGACTTTTTAATTTGAAGAAACCAAGTTTTGGGGAAAGTTTACTTAAAAGCTACACTACTTAAAAGTTTTAGTAAAAATTATGGATAGTTATGGTTTTAATGTGAAGCCCCATATTCGCCAGTTGGTTATTCCATGTCTCACTTGATCTTTGGTATTGTCAGCTTGTCAAATGAGGAGGTATACAACGCAGTGGAGATCGACTACGTATACTCCAACTACGTGCGTTGTTTTCTAGTTCTTGTGCGATAACATGTTAACTTTCATCCATAGAACAGAAAATGGCATGAAACACTTATAATAAGAGAAGAATACAAAAATTCATCACAGAAATGAAATACGGCACACATACAATCATCGTATAAAAATATTTTTTAAAAAAACCGGTATTACAACAAAACAAGCGCCACCACCGCCGTACAATATGCCATTGTGTTTACGTCCCCATCTAGACCTTCGCGCGCGAGAGCTGTAGAGTGGGGACAGGAGCCCAAACACTCGGGAAAGCCCCCCAAAGTCCACTTCTCCAATATCAGAGCGCACTGATAAATTCATGACATCTTCATGACATCCTCTCTGCTCCTGGAAATTGGGTCTCTCCATCTCGCATCCCAAGTGAACCAGGATGTCCGTCCGTCCATCTCCCATTGGGTGGGCATTGCCGCATGGCATGTCATGTCATGTCGCATGGACGCGAGAGTGACGGGGGACAACCACAACGTAGGTTTATCTACGACGTATAACTGTAACTGTATTAACGTACTTACGTATTAAAGCCGACCGTAGTACGGGACTGCAGGGTGGGGGGAGACTGTACACCTGTGGAGAGACAGAAGAGCTGACGGCGGGCAGCCCAAAGCTCTCTACGGTCTGTCCACCGGTCCGATGGAGACACGCGGCACGGCGCGACTCGACGCCCGATCCTCGATCTTCTGCTTCGGGAGAACAAAGCGAGTCGCTCGGGGTCCGGGGGACCGGCGATCGTTTGCGCCGTAGAGTAGACCTGCGAGAGTTGCTCGCTGTCGTCGTGGGAAGCGTGGTGAATCTGCTGATCAGACCTCGGATCTACGACGATGGCAGATCGATTCCCGAGCTTTTCGACTCGTCGATTTGTCGAGTGCAGCGGGCCGGTCAGACGTCGGCGAGATGTAGACTGTGCTCGAGATGGCGGACTCTCGGATCGGATCGAATGCTCGAACAATCGCCCTCCCTCGCTCATGCACGTCTCGTACTGCCGTCAAGTTCCGGTTCTGGCACTGTGATCTAGAAATTCGTACGGGTAAAAGCCCACCAATGTATATACAGAAGTCACGCATATGGTTCTTCGATAGATATTTCGCTCCCTCAGATGCGAGCACATGGGCTGGCTGTCCACTGCGACATGGTCCTTGCAGGCCCCACTATCACGAACCTTTCTGTCAATTTCCCACTGCACTCGTGAATAGCAGTACGATGATGCTGAACAAAGCGTGATAGACCCGTAAGCACTAACAGATTGGATGGAAGGGTGAGTTGATCTTCACAGGGAGCGCTACAAGTTCCTAGCAAAGTCAAACTGCAATCCTTCCTTCAACTGAGCTTTCCAAAATCTCTCCCTTCTAAGCGGAATCCAGCGACATAGACAGGACATTACAAGACAATACTCGTAATCTTCGGCAGTCCCGTCTTGGAATAATACTAGGCGTTTCTTCTTACAAACAGAACCACCTTCTTGGCGAGGCAAAAGATTGTCACTACGACGGGCCTTTTATTGGTAATGGTCAATGAGGTAACCCAGTATATAAATTGACGTTTAAATTCTCCAAATTTGACAACCAAATTCAGAAAAGAAAAATGTTAACCTTCTATTTCTTACTAGCCACAGACGGTGGGGTTGAATGCTAGGCTTTTTTCAGGCTTATGCTGTTTACATCATTCTTTCGTGATCTTAAGGTTTGGATCTGTGGGATAGCTTTGCGAAAGGCATATAGCGTGTCCAAATCGACGTCTGCAGAATGAGTCATCTTGGGACAAATATTCTAATGAACACTGATCTGAAAAACAATAATAAAGTACACACTTATAAATGAGAGAACAGTGCCATTTCTTACCCATGATCGCAAGAGAAGATCCGAGAAGATTCGATCAAGGTACTAAGTTCCAATTCGACAGCCACACACGATAAAAACGATCCGATCCTTTATCGGATCCGTCTAGTGCGTAGAATAGGAGTTGCAAAAGATGGTCTGGCTAGTGAACAATGATAACACCCGGTCTCCTGTCAAAATCAAGGACCCTCCAAAACTTCGCATAGGTATCGCACCAATTTGGAGGCCTATGCCAGAGAAGGCCTTGATAAGAATGGTGTAAAGCTATCTGCTACAAAGTAAACTCACTCACGATTTCCCATGACAAGCTCCAGTATGCAATAAAAGCGAAACAATCTATCAGCTGGCTTCGTTCTTCGGACTCTATATGAACTCCATAAAACCCTCCACAAGCAGACAGGAGACGCTGTAATAATAACAACTATGGAATTCGGACAAGTGTCAGACGTATAACCAACACTTGGGGCAGGATGGAGACTTCGGCTTAAAATGCCAGAGACCACCATTATGAGGCTATACATTAACATGAATCGAACATATTGAGAAACAGAACTCTGCGGGAACACCGTAACCTCAAGGTTGCCTGGTCAATTCATCTACATCTAGCTCCATAGCCAAGACTGCCGAGTCCTCCTCCATTGCCTCGTCACTACAATCCAGCACAGAAATCCATTTCATCAGAATCAATTTCACTGTACTCATTAGTGTGTGTGTGTGTGTGTCTGTCTGTCTGTCGTGGCCTGAAGAGCATGACAACCGAGACCTGGCTGAGTCGAGCTAGCATGGAGACAATTGCTAATGAGACAAGACATTGTAGAAGGAGAACAAAAACGAGACTCGTTGCGTGGAGGTGATCCCCATGGATGAGATCAGTTCCAAGTCTCCAAGGCTAAATCATCCAAAAAAATCTTTCACTGTCTCATCCATCATACTAGCCATCAGTTTCACAAAACTTCAAAAACATATTCCGAAATTTCCTAAAAAGGTGGTTAAGACATCAAATCCCAGAACTCTGAACATAAACCCAATCAGTTTCATGTTCGAAGTAAAACTGATTGGCTTTACAAGAGTGTACCTGTTGAGCACAGGACCATGATCAACACTGGAACGACTGAAGTATATGACTCTGCCCTCGATGTTGCTGACAGGCAAGGGTCCAAAGGTTCTGCTGTCTTGAGCTTCCTGCATATAGCAAGTGAGGGAGATGAACCTCGGAAATCATAGGTCCTAGACGAAAAAAGCCTGTCTATTTCTTCAGAGCTTCGAGGAAGAAAACGTCACCTCTTTCCTTCACATGAAAGAGGTGCCGTTTAACAACTGCATAGGTCCAGCAAACACTACATCTGACATGGTTTTAACAATGTCCACAAAGACGTGAGAAGCGATGATGATTTATTGTACTCTTACCTTGGCACCAACGGAAGGGTTGTCGCAAAGCACCCAGCATTGTCCTCTCTCCAATTGAAAAGGTTCGTCCTTGTCATCAGTCGATAGCATCTCGTCTCCTTCCACTGCTGCTACACGACGCACAAGCTTTCTACTGGGATCCGTTGGATGTCTCAGCATGACCACATCACTGACATACACAGACCTGGGGACGATTCAGAAACATGTAACAAACTTTACACTGTTACAGTAGTGTAATATATCTCATAAGTTATCCAAATGAATAAATGAGATCATCCGAACCATCATCGATCTGCCAGTATTTGAAACTTGTCTCCAATGGCAAACATCACTGAACACAAAACAGGGTCCATTCTTCTGGGATGACTTGAAGGAATCGTGTCATGGTACGTACATGCAGAACTCTATGAACAGAAACAGCATAATCAAATTCTTCTAATTACTATACGATTCCAGTAGATTTACGAAATGCATAACTCCTACATGAGGATTTGAGCATTCTTACTAGAGAAATATACTCACAACGGTCATCTACTTTTACGACATAAACCCTGTCATGGTTTGACTAGTATGAACATTTGCACCCAACTATTGGCAACCGAGCTTCTTGTTGCAGGTAGATTTCAAAGTCTAAAGACTTTATTGTAGGGCGGACATCAAAGTTGCAAGCACCGAAGTGGCGATTCTGAGTTCCATACGCACGCATCCTCACATTCCTGACCTTTTCAGGGGTTCAGAACACAAACCTTGCACTTGGACTTGTTATTGATCTAACCAACACGTTCTCCCCTTGGCTGGCAAAGGTGGGTGCCATTTCCTCGCCTTGGACCAAGTACTTGTAGGTGAGACGTTCCCGCATCACTTTTCTAAGAGTTGCATTGAAAAGGTCCTTCTCTTTTATCTCACCCCTCTCCAATCGCTGCACAGAAGCACAAGCACCATCAGAACAATCCAAGTCCATTTACAACGAGATATTAAACCGCAAAGGAGCACTGCAGTGCATAATAGTTGGTAAAGGCCGCATACAGAAGAGATACTAATTTTCAACCCACATTCTGTTCGTTTCGTTTATAAGTATCCAACTGACTTTAACGCCTCAGGGAATTTAGAAAGTACAGGCAGCATTCAACTTCCTCGCAGCGAAGCTGATTCAAAACTGATGACTTTGATGCATGGAAAGAACTCAGTCAAGTAAACAAGAGAATATGCATCCTCGGCGTTATTCGAGAACCCTAATCTCTCCAGAAGATTCGAGGACTTGGCAGTGACTTCAAACTGAGCTATCGGACCATTTAGAGTCATAAGATTGAGCAGTGTCTTCTGTGAATTTTTTCTTCCAAATGACTTCCTCATCAAAAAAAACATTGAAATTGTCAACAACATTCACCCGGTAAAATTACACGAGGAGCAACACACAAAATTGAATACTTTTTCACTCTTGAGGAGTAACAAGGTACAACATAGGCTGAACCTCGCGTTATGACTGAAGCAGCCACGTGAGGCAAAATAAAACACTTCTTGCTGTATGACACATTTCATCGTCGCATTTTGAAACCCATCACACGATTGAATGCTAAATTCACAGCCTGCTGGCTCTCCAAGAATGTGAAAGATCCAGTGAGAACCCGGGCAGATATAGAACTAAAACCCTAGCCAAAAGTCCAAAAGTCATCCGGGCAAGAAAACACGTTGATCGGCCTTCTAATCCCAAAGTGCAAGTATAATGCTGATAACATGAATATTGAGAGTACCTTCACACTGTCCGCAAAAGATGCCCTGACTTTGGTTAAAAGATAGCGCGCCCAAACGAACGCCATTTCGCGATCCTGAAGACAACTGCACGTCTGATAAAACTTAATTAGGGTTCGAAATTGAGCTTCCTCGTACCTAGAGCAGCACAAAATTGCCATAACCAGAAATCCACCACAATTCCGCCCATGCCACGAAATCTTCCTCCCACGATCACATGTCGATCGAGCACATATAATAGACGTATAGAATTCACCCAACAACTAAACCTGCGACCCCCGAGCAACTCATGATCCACTTATCGATTTCAGCCTCCAAAACCATAACATAAGGTTTCGAGCCGTACTGCGCCTGTTGGTCGGTGACGGAATAAAGCAAATCCCCTGCTCACTTTCCCCTCGAAAAATCAGATCGGCAAAACCCTCAAACCATCAGCTCGATCACCCAATCAAGCACACTTCAGTCTCTCAGTTCCTATTCTTCACACTTCTCGACCTCCCACGCCTCCTTCCCCTCCCTCTCATTCAATTCGACCAATCACCCGACTCAGAACCCTTCCAATTCACAGAGGCAATCCACAATCCAATTCCCCAACCAAATCCAATCAAGCTGTTTACTAACCCGACCCGATCGGCGGAGAGAATGATAGTCCGCTCAATCCATCGAGATTGACAAAACCCTGTGGCAGAGAGGAATTTCCACTTCAGACCCACAGTCACGTACAGAGTACGAGGAGGAGGGTGATGGAATCTGTGCAGAGACTGGATTCAGAATCTGGAAGACATCGAACGGGAGTTCAGATGAACGAAGGTTAAGCTTGTTCTGCGAATCTTCGGAGCCATCATCAGTCCCCAAATCAAAACTCCGATTTTCGGTCGGTGTGCTCAATATCCTTCTCCCTTTCCTTTTCTCCGCACAGCAAACAAAACAGCCATTCTGCCCCGTTTGGCTCATTTTGTAGTCTGATTTTTTTAAAAGTTGGCTATCGGGGCCTGCTGGCCCCATCTTAGTCCTATGGCTCCATCCGTGTACTTCTTCGTGTATTTGCTATTTCCTGATTTCTTTTGAGCAACTTTACACTTCAATGATAGGAACAACCTTTGTTGTGGACAGTGTAGGTTTCCTCGCCGACTTCTCTCAGTAGAATTTAAAAATTGGACAATATGTGGAGGGTTATTTCATTGCGTCAAATCATGTGACAAAAAAGGTTATACAAAAAATTAATCCAAACAATCAATTCTGATTGTATGATGAGCATTATGAGTTGTTCAATCATTGTAATGATAAATTTTTATTTGATTATTGACATAGTGTTGTTTTAAGAAAATACTTAATCAGTATCTAATTTTGCAATCATATAAAACTTGGAAAGAATAATACGTATAACTTTCTTTTGTTTGAACTTGAATCAAAATCAAAACGCTGATCAATGCCTTCCCGTTAAGTACAAGCACACTTATTCACATGTCAAGGGCTGGTGAAGTTTTGCACGTTGAATTGAATTATACCACATGCTACACCGCTTGTGCAGGCTAAGAAAGATAACTGTATTCATGATTTCCTTTCAATTTAAAATCAAATAAATGAAAACATCATTTAATGTTTTAGTGTTTTTGGTCTGAGTTTTAAAGCAATATGCTATAACATTATTTTTTAATTTTTAAATCTAAAATGTAAATTCTGAATAGAAGTCTTTACAATTACAAAATATATTTTTATATATTTTGATAGAGAGTACAAAATTTAGTAATAAAACCATTACTGCTAAAATTGAAATATATTGACGTCTAGGAGTTTGAAAAAACATTCAAGGTTTGTTGAAACATCACAAAAGCTTCAGATGTTTACATTACATAAAATATTTTTTAATCAGAATTATTCTCCAGTATGGAATACAAAAATATGGAGATATCCTGCTTTGGTAGGAGTTATATGCTCTTGTACAAGTGTATTACCAAAATAGTACTTTTAGTATTTACATAAAATATGTTTGGTGATGCCAGGTTTTCAATAGCTGACAATGAGGAATTCCTAGATGTCTATGATAAGTACAAGAAAATTATTACTACCACAAGAGAAGTAGGATGCAGATCAATTGATCATTACATCAGACAGTAAGACCAATAAGCATTTGTGAAAAGTCTAACAAGAGTAGCTATAACTTAGAGCTTGAATGAATTTGGTGCTTCAAAGTTTGTGAGGCATTTGACGCAGAAGGTATAATTCAGAGAATTTTGAAAGATTCAAGAGCTATTGAATTAAAGCAATTCAATTCTGATTTCGAAGTTTGGGCAAATAAAGAATATCTTACAGCAAGTGAAATTTCACATTCACATATAATTTAAGTGCGTTGACTTTAATAAGGTCTTTTACTTAGATTTTGGGGGCATAGTGTCAAATCATCAAAGAATCGAGAGAACAAGTTAACAGATTTATGATAGTATTTTCACAAATTAGAATTCAAGTTGATATTAGCATATCCACATTTATAGCCGTAACTATCACCACCATGAACTCCATCATTTACCGGCTGTCACGAGGATTATAATTCAATCCACCATAAAAATATATATTTAACAATCATTATTGAAGTTTTTAACAAATGTCAAGCAACCTCACACGATTCTAGATGTTGAAAGAAGGGTGGAGAGCAAGAACAACCACAGTGACTCTAAAGAAGTGAATGGCGCAACGGATTTGTAGCAAGTTTGATCACATCGGCTAGCACATCAATAAACCAAACGAAACTCTGGAAAATATCCAATATATCGATGTTCGACGATACGCTGCATACATGGAGCGGAGCAAGCGTTTCATTATTACTTGTCATACAGGAGACACCATTTTGAGAGTGTGACTCAAAAGGGTGGAAAAAATATAAAGCCATCAGGCGTCCTTGTAACGTACATAACATTATAATATTAAGATAATTATGGATAAGAAGGCAATAGTTTATCGTTTAAAAAAATGATGGTATGATTTTTACATGTGTATGTTATAAAGTGTCATTTGGTTTATATATGTTATTCTAATATTTTGTGTGTAGCTAATGTTCACTGCAGTAATTCTGACCACTGTTGTGGTAAAAGTGAGAAATGAAGGAAAATGTTGAACTAATAGCAAACTAAAGGAGAAAATTTCATGTGAAAACAAAAGTCCATGTACTCACAATTTTGTAAAATGAAAATAAAATATAATTTCATCAATGAAAAAAACTCAAAAAGAATCATCTTCTCTTTCCACATAACTTTTCTCTTTATTCTAATAGTAACTCCTTCAATAGATTTTTTTATTCTTTTCCTACAAATGGTGAAAAAAATTTAAATTTATCTTATTTCTTAAAATTTATGGGATAAATTTCGAATATATAAACAGATGTGATTGAAATCTTTGTACAAATTAATTAGACAATGAAAATAAATAAATTAACATATTAATATTTAAGGAAAAACTCAATTTTGAAAATAAATGGAAATCCATTTAAATATGAAAATTCTACCTTCTGACCAATAAAAATTCATATGAATATTGAATATTTTTTCAAATATTCAAAAATTTTGAGAACATATCAAATTAATTATTAATCTAAAAGATAATATCAATTTAAAGAAATCTATTGAGTATCCAAGATGAATAAAGTGGACTGAGAGAATTAATCACCTTGGAAGTTAACAATATCTTCCAATAAAGTAAAATTATTGCAAGGTGGAATATATCTTTGCAGAATAGATTTTAAGATGTATCATATTTTTTCCATCAAAAATTTAGAAAATATTATATAAGTACATAAATTTCACTAGCTTTCCTTGTAAGCTAATATGTACTTCGTTAATACATCTAGACGCAGGGGACAAGTTGATAAGAAGAAATAAAACGAGAAGGATTCTAAGTACTTGTTGAAAATGAATCAAGAAACCAAGGGCTAGGTGTCAGTATTAAGCCACTGGCGAAAAACACGATCATCCGGAATATATAGATATGGAGAAACAAAAGTAAATGATTCTCGAATACATAAGGGAGTAACTAAGAGTAGTGTTTCATTCAATATACTACCATGTACAAAGTCTTTGGTGTGAGTGAATGATTATAGTCAAGACGCTGTGATTTTTGTGTGTTGATGCTGCCACAAAAATCACATGGATATCAAAAAGGACGATGAAGCGAACTGCTGAAACACTCTGGTAACCATTGGAGGCTGCCCTGCTAACAACAAACGAGTCTGGGTTCTTACTCGAGCCTACATGGCAGCATCCTGCGTGGCAGCTCCCGAACAGGCTCATGGACACTTCGATTTTTCCACTGTAATGTTCCAGCGAGCGAGGGGGTCTAGGGTTTAACATTTTGGAGCTACTCTGTACCTCAGTCCTCGTTAGATTTCCAGAACTTCATGCACTGCCCATTCTCCACCTTTTGAATCGTGCACATTCGCACACATTGCTCGAAAATTATCAGCTATTCTCTTCTGTGGTACATCCGATCCAGGAGAACAGCAGGTAGTTGGAGACGGAGAAATTTCGGTTCGAGAAATCTGGTGGATTCTCTGCGGTTTAGGGCTCAGAATTGGATTCGGAGGACAATTAGAAGAGCTGTAATGACAGAGTTCTGAGCTTGTTTCACGTTTGTGTGCGCAATTTGGTGAAAGGACTAGGACCCTTGAAGAGGTGCCGGATCTGAAGCTCCGGCTGGATCTGGGAGAAGTTGAATTCTGCATTCACTCCACCGGCGGAGAGCAGTAGAGTGCAGTGTGGCAAGATGTTTGCGTCAGCGGTGCGGTTTATGGCCAAAAAGGCAAAGGGGGGCAGGAAAAAGGTCGACAAACCTGCTGGCATGAACATCGGTGTGGAAGGCGAGACATGGTCGGGCAGATTGCGGGAAATCGTAAAGGAGCATGGTCCTCTGAATGTTTCTTCTTACTGGGAACATGCGAAGGTATGCCTGAAATATGTAATTGGCGTGAAATAGTGAGGGACGCTGTTTCTATGAAGAAATAGTAAATTTCAAAGTAATCGATAGCCACTTAACCATAGTCCGAGATTCTATGCAGGTAGGCTGTCGTGTGCTGAATATGGCTTGCTGATTCGAAACATTTTAATGGCTAATGGAACATAATCGCCCAGATCCTGCTATTGTTACTCTAAAAACATTTGCAGCACTTCGAAGTTAGTTCTACTGTAGGACTGACACTTGAGCCCCTGCATGTTATCCCTAGTCGGAAAGTGAGTTAAATCTTATCTAAGGACTTCTAATGTACGGATCCATCTACTGGTGAAGATAGAACAGATTTTCTGAAGAGGAGGGAGAAGCACATTTCGTTGTTTACCAGCAAGAAGCAGAATTTGCCTTCAGGGGCATGGATTTCTTTAAAATGCAAAGTTCGGAAAGGTTCATGACCTTTTGAAATTGTTTAATTCCGTCAAAAAGGATTAGAAGATTTCAAGCCCTTTCTACATTGTTCTATAATTCAGAAATCTGTCAGAAACCATTTTTTCAACTGGTGACACAAGGAGTCTCAGTTCTCTGCTGTACCAACTGAGCTATCCTCGATAAGTACCTCAGCTCTTGGAGCGAGATGTTATCAAACCTGCTTGAGGATCCTCATCGGATATTGAAAGGGATTGTCGGAAGTCAAATGATTAGGAAGTGGACAATGTGTTGTGGAGTTTTACCAAGTGGTAGAATTGGATCTCCAAACTCACTTTTTTTGTAAAGCTGTGATAGAGCTACTTAAATATCTTCTCAAGCATTAGATTCCAAAACTTGGAGGTTACTAGAGGAATGTCATGTGTGTATCTGAGTTCTTACAAAGATGGAATCTATTTCAGGATACGGGTCTCAGGAGTAAGAGACATATGAAGATCATTCTGAAATGGATGCGGGGCCAAAACCACATCAAGCTTATCTGCAATCACATCGGAGACAAGCGCAGTCCGACAGACAAGGAGTTTCTATACACGTATGTAGTTCCCAAAAGTGAGAGACTGGCGATGGGAATGGGAAGTGGAACTGGAGAAGAGGCCACCGGCGATAACGGACTGAAAGACATTGCAGCTTTAGCGGACGAAGCCCCTGCAAGTCTTCAGAAATAAGTTATCTTCATCTTGCTAACGTGGTCAGCGTGCCTTGGATTACAATGACATGAGTGAAAATGTATCCTGCAGTATGAGGTGCTTGAATGAAGAATGCTTGGGTTGTAGCAGGTTCCTTGTCTTTGTGAACTCAACGGATACACAGTCCGTTAGAAGGGTTCTCTGTTTCCAGAGAGTCATGCATTAAATGACATGCGTCGTCTGGATTGAATGCCACGGCTTCAGATACGATATTGGACAGTCACCAATGCTAAAAGATCATATTCATGGTTATTCTAGAGGACTCCAGAAGGCCATCTCTCGCCTTAGGAGTAATTATGATGGCTAACGTGATGGTGGACACCTGATTCTCGCAGTGGTCGAAGTGTTAGGTGGAAGGCCAGTTGCAGCAGTTCTCTCGGCTTTGAAAAAGTCCAACGTTATGGACAGCCAAAAATGTGTTGTCTGTTGAGTTTCAGCAAATTGGACTTGGATCAATACGGAAACTTCCGAAACACGTTATATGATTGAAGTGTGTCACTCTTGGTCTTCATGGAGGATGTGGTCAGTCTGTTTTGAAGCTTCTACGTTGTCTCTCGTCTTCCTGGTTTTGTTGAATGACTACATCTGTGGGATTGGATTATTTTTCTTAGAGGGTGATTCTCACAGGAGTGATCAAAAAGCACCAAGCAAGAAGCAGTGTGTCGATGGAGTCAAATACACTTAAATACATTTTGTCCTCGCCACAGCTGCTGGTGCTCTTCTCTATCGAGGAGAATTTGAGGAGAATTTGTGGAGTGTGAGGGAAACTCGGTTAGTTTCCAATGAAAGGGATTTTTTATGAACAGACCCTAAGTTTTGTCATTCACGATAGATTGTCATTTCCAGAACCTTTTAAAGCACATGGGAACGAGTCTGTAGGCGCGAACCATCATGGACACCAGACCGAAAGGTAGTGGTTTCACAATGGAGCTAATTGAATTTCCTTTGTGGAGGTTACCTGATGACTCGAGCGAGCCGATTCCATTGCTCAATTTTAAAGGCAGGGAAGGTCGCCTGTTTTTCTGACATTGAGACCCCGGACGAGTCCAAAATGCCTACTTGCTTTGGAAAGTGTGGGCGCAGAGATTCCCCAAACAAGCTCACCCTCAGATGATGGGTTCCTAATGTATGGATGGATGAATTTGACTCACCCTCATCTTTTATGCCTTTACTTTAAACCAGATGTTCAAGCACAGCCAAGTGACACCGATTGGTGAGATACTACCTCCTTCCAGGTCTGCACAGATTCACTCTCGAGGCACACACTCACATACTCACCTGCACACCGCAGCACAGTCCTCGCATCACATATTGTGTTATCGTGGCCACGAAATATCTGCTGCCCCACTGCAAGCTACGATAGCAGCAATACGCAGTTCGCTCTCATGGCAGGACAGATGACCTGTTGCAGTGTGCTTCACACATTTTATTTCTCTCACTCGCCGATGTAAGAGGAGGGCTCGAGCGACGCTTATCTTCACGAAGTGCTCGAATTCAGGCTCACACAAGGAAACATGGCTGTAATGTAAAGCCACGAGCACTCGAGGGCGAAGAAGGATGGAGCGGGAGGGAGGACACACGGTCGTACCTCACTCCTCGGCCCCTTTGCACTTTTGAGTCACGTCTGGATCCTTTTTTGTCTGGATAAGGCGAGAGTCCGAGCGGGGCCGAGGTCGGGGACGAGGAGGAAGAGGAGGAGGAGGAGGAGGAGGTGTGTCTGAGGTCAGATTGCGCGTGCTCGTCGTGTGCTCTTGCCAGATTTCTACGTCCATAGCCGGAAGCTGTTAGCGCGGAGTCTGTCGGAGGGAGGGAGGGAGAAAGGAAGGAAGGGGACGATGGCGACCATTTGGGCGACAGGCGTTGTGGTGCCCGTGATCAATGGGCAAGGGTTGGGGGCGAGAGCTGCTGCGGGCAAGAAGCAGCAGCCGAAGGGGGCGAAGCAGCAAGTGCCCAAGAGTGACGAGCAAGGCTTGCTCGATCGACTGTTCGAGTGGCTGAACAAGGAATCCTTCTCGGAGACGGATGCTCTTCTGAACAAATCGGGCGACAATGGCAAGGGCGTGTCCGTAGCTCCTCCGCCCCAAAAGAAGGGCGGCTTCTTCGGATCGAATTAGAGCGGCGCGCCGGCCTTTGATCCCCGAGGTTCTTGTTCTCTCCTCACTCGAAATCCTTCTCCATGGATGCATGGATGTGTGTGGACCGTGATTCCTTCTTTCAATTGAACTCCTTCGCTCTACTTTCTCGTCCGGTCGAGTTTGATTCTCGAATGGTGTATCGATATGGAACATTTGATTGAGAAGTGAAGATTCTCGCTGCCAGTGGATCTAAGTGATTTTTTCGTGTCTTTTATGTTTCGGTTGATCACAGGTCCTGCGGCCGGATCATTTGCTCGAGTTCTTGTACTTAAGTAGTAATGTCGAGGATCACTTTGCTGGCCCAGGTGTCACCGGCCGGTCAACGGAGCAGTGTAGAAAGCAATTTCGCTCGTAGTGGGCGAGGTGTATAGTCTGAAGCCCAGGGGCTCTGATCTCGTACTTCCCCTTTCAAAAAATCTCGATACTTGCAGCCAGTTGTCAGACACTGCCACTGGGAGGAGGCTTGCTTGAATAGAGCTGAGCGCCCATTGATTGCCTGCACTAGGTGCTGCAACTTGTTAGAAAGGGGTAGTTGGCAATTTGGGGCTCTATCACGTCCCGCAGAAAGAGGCAGAGAGGCACGAAGGGATGGAGGGAGTGAGGAAGGGAGGGAGGGATCCATTATAGTTTCGATGCCGAGCACATTGATGTACTCACTCAAATTCGGTCACGGTAAAAGTGTCTCGTGATGTACGATTTTTGTGATTTCAAAATCCATGCCACTCGATGCTCGACTCGAGCCATCATGGTCCTCAACATTGTAGCAAGATGTGCACCGGTCCTGTAGAGTGAGCTTCGAAATAATGAATGACTGTTCCATAGCTGGAGACCGGATATGTCGTCGAAGCGATCCACCATACATAACTCCCACTACACACTGCACAGCCTCCATCCACTACTATGGTCTACAATCTGCACCTGTTACTGTTTTTACCTTTCACAGCCATGGGATCAAGCTCCACCCAAGCTGCACATGCGGTTTCCTGTTCCCTGCATTTATGCATTATCTGCTGACATTACAAGGATGCATTATCCACACTCTAGCCATGAATACGGACGGAGCCTCACCATAAAGTTCTAAATCACATGATACCTGCGCGCCAGTCCTCCGTCTCGGATTTCTACCACTAGCAAACTGTAGTCTTGAAGTAGAGAGAGAGAGAGGAACGAAAGCTGCGCAATGTGGATGTGGTTCTTCTAGCGTGTCGAGACTCGAGGGGAGAGGGGTATGAATCCGAGCCACACTAGAGGTCGGGATGTGCTCCTCTGACCGACTGAGTGAGTCATCGTGCCTCTGACACGACCCGCCCGAGACGGAATCAAATGTCTCCTGTCCCGACGATTCGCGTGGAGTATTTTATGCGGGCAGCGCTGGGCTCACCAAATTGCTGCTGCGATCGACACGCAATGTTCCTTCCTTCCCGCACGTCACCGACCGGGTTCTCTCGATCGTTCGTCCGTTCGAGTTTCCAAAGAAAATCACGTCAATGCTGGAAAGTGTCGAGGTCGTTTGATGAGGCAAGGAAACCGTCTGCCTCGTCTCGAGTTCTGTCAGATGCCGCTGGAAGCGTCTCACGGTTATTGTTGTTCCAAATTGGAGTCCGATCCTCCACATACTGTATGTGCTTCCCATATCTCTCTCTCTCTCTATCTCTCTCTCTTCTCTTCAGAGTCTTCCTTCCTCGCTCTTTCTCGAGCGTGCCTGACACGCTTGAGGTCGAGAAAATATCAATCCGAGCGAAAACGCCCCATTTGTATGATCACCACCTCTAGTTCACCTCTCTCTCCCTTCCTTCCTCGATGGCCATCGTTAAACAGTTGAGGCCTCGTGTTTGCCACCTACAATCATAATTGTACTGAAGGTCGATTGCTGGTGCCCGCATTTTCTATATGGTTCTCTTCAGCATCCTCTTCAGCAATTAGTGTGCAGCATAGAAAATAGGCGTCAAATGAGAGCCTACATTAGCTTTGTCACTCACTACTCCACAAGTTGGAAATTTCAAGATTCCCATTGACACCGGGTTTAAGAAGTAGTTAGATATTCATCTTTGTGAAATTGTGTCTAAAATCCATAGAGTACATTCACTTGTTCGAAATGCACAAGAAATGAAAATGTTTTCTAAGATGCAAAGTATCAAATAGTGGCATAATAGAATGCGAAATTGTTGCAAAATGAAGAGAATATATGTATGTTACCAGCATAATTAATGATAAGCATCTTTTTGTTACAAGCGTAACTAATAAGATTATATCATAAAGCTGGGAATGATCAGATCAATTTAAAATGTGATGTTCCGTTTGAAAGGAAACTTTTGATTGATGAAACAAATTAACTAGTCAAACATTTGTTCGAACTGATATTTTCTTTGATTATTCAATGCACTCTCTTACAAAATTTTTAACAACTGTATCAAAAGTCAATTCTTTTAATAACATGACAAGATTTCCATATGTGTGGATATGACAAATCCATTTATGAGGGAAGTAGAAAAAACTCATGTAGGAGTGAAAAACAAATGCAAAATTTTCACTTTTCAATCAAATGATGAGAAAAGAAAGTAACGGTTGTATATAAGATGAAAGAGGATATGCTAGAATGTGATTATAAATATTTTGTCCAACCATATTCGAGTGTAAAAGCTTCAAAATTTTAACATATCAAACATCACATTTTTTACAAACTTATCTTTTAATTTCAAAAGTGTTGAAACCTGTCATAATCGAGTAATTAAATCACGGCAATGCATTTAAATTTTAAAATTGATATATATCAATATCTCTACTTAAACTCATGAAATTTAATAATGGTTGTGAAATGTTAATGATTAAATCTAGTAAAATAAACATTCACTGTCTAGAATTCCATTCGAATTGATTAATTTTTTTAGTTGGAAATTTTTATTTGTTGTATTGAATGAAATAATTGGAATTATTTACATCGATGTCATGATTATTTTGATCTTCTTACTAAACAATTTTCATATGATAATGTTATTCCTAATATTTCAATAAGTGAAGAATAAAATTTCCATACATATTTTTCAATCAAATGGTGCATTATGTCCATAAACCACTGCAGAAGATAAAAAAATATATAACTATGTTACGATTTAACCTAATTCTTCATCATGAAGAGAAAAGTATTCACAATTTACTTCATTTATTTAAGCAAATCCAATGTATAATCAATTGATTTGTATATATCGTTTGTGGAGTTAAAAATATTTAATTTGTATGAATCATGAAGTTCTATTTTAAAATGTTAAATCTAAAAGATAAAGATATGAAACCTGTAAATTTTAAATTTTTTTTCCTCATCAAATTTAAATCATGTTTGCTTTCTCATATCTGTCACTCTCCAGTATCATCTTCCACCATTTTAATTTTTTGTATCTTTTACTTTACATATAAACACAAATTCTACCAACAGATTGGAATATTTTGAATGAAATTGAATTCATCAATCTAAATATTATTTTTATTTTTATTTTTATTTTTTATTCTCTAAACATAATACATTTACATCCATAAAAATTTGAAAATCAATACAAAGTTATAATTTTCTGATACAAAATATTACTGTTCAAACAGTTAAATGGAAAAAAAAACACGACTTATAATATGCTATTTTTAATGCACAATTATTCTTTTAATAACGTTAACATTTGGCACTAACTTCAACTTGAAATGCAGTTTTTGAGGTTAATCGTTACGATCTAAACGTGAAGTACCTTGAAGGATTAATTTGAATAACAAAATCTTTGCATCCATTGATGATCTTTGAACATAATCCAAGAACTATATCAAATGTCATGGAGAAAAGATAAATTATTCGATCTAGATATAATTGATGAAAACGAGTATGGATAGATGAGACTAGTAGCTGAAATGATAGCTAAATACGGTTGTGATATCATATCAATATATCTTATACTAACTGCTAGCTTTTCCGTCATATGGCCACGCACTTTTTGTCGAGCCATTGCTTCCCTTATGTTCATTGGCCCATCCAGGACGACATCACTTCCAACTAGTATTTTTTACTGTCTTGTGGTGTTTAACATTTTATCTGAGTATATAAACATCAAGTACAAGAATATACATATCACATTCTTTTCTCTTACAATCAGCTTGTCTTCCATTGCTTTCACGTTCATATAAAAGCTCTATACGCAGTTTATTTCAATCAAATCTAGTGGATCACTCCGACCTAACCTTCTGCACAGTGAAATTGGTGTACTTTTAAAGTGAAAACGGCTAGTTTGGCATATCCATGAACTTGTATCTACAGTTATACTTGATCAGATCAATATTAAATTTATTTTTAATTCCTACCTTGATGATCAAGCCATCTCGACGTGTCAATGTAAACCATGTGTGAAATCTCAATCTTTCCATTCCAATGTCATATTTCTTCTTATTGAAGTCCTTTTTATAATGCATCAGCTTAAATATGAAATCTCGCAATGTTTCATTGTCCTCTTAATCGAATGAGATCATCAATTTGGGGTTAAAAATTCTTCAAACAATTTCAGGTACACATAATTTTAGGATCATGTTAAAAATACACCACCTACATTATTCAATCCTCAAAATATTTCCACCATTCAATCTGGTTTCAGCACAAATGGTTGATCAGGCCACCAGCATTTTCTATATTCCGAGGAACAGATTAGCCTCTCAAGGTCCGAAGCAAAGTTTTGATCATTTTTAATTATGATTGATTACTTCATCACTGAGTTCAACTTGACATTGAAAGTATCTCTCACTGCCCTCAAATTCATTACTAGTAATGTCAAATCTTTCCAGCAACCTATCAATATATTAATCTTAACTACAATCCTGTTCCAATGGGCGTTACCACATTTACATCAACTACGAGCACAAAGTCAAAGAAGCAAGCTCATGATAGCTAACTAGCATACTACTACATGAAATTGTTATCCAACTTCTTGCTAGACCCTTCTGACTAAATTTTGCACCCGTGGAGTATCTTTTTAACAAATCAAGTATGCAAAATCATATATAAACGTTGTTCCGAACATCATAGGCTAGCAATTTAGGGGTGTAAACACACCGTCTCCCTCTTCACAGGAATTTATTTATAGAGTACTTGCTACGGGGTTCTTTTTAAAACTCAGTATCAAATCTGCACAACTTCTTGTGCAAGAATTTATAGATCTCTTAGGAATTCAAAAATTGAATCGGTGTAGAGTATCATCTTTGAATGGTAGATTATGAGCTAAACCCTTTGACATGATAGGTCCAAAGCACTTCTTTGCAGTTATGCACAACTCTTCTCACAAAATTTTGTAGATCTTCACGGGAAAAGCTGAAAGCCATGATTCTGAATTTTCGCCAGGAAATGTTGGCTGCCTTTATTACCAACGTAGTTAGTAGCGGAGGACCACCATGAAATGAACACAACTGAGAAATCGCTAATCATCATCTCCGGAGATCGAGAGATGTAATGGATGTCACAAGGCTATGAGAGGAGAGCTGAGCATGGATCTTGCACGATGGCCCCTTGCAGTCAATAGTCGTGATAGATCACAATTCGCTCTTTATGAACGCGAAGGAAGGTCAGTCCCCGACTCAGAAAACTTTTCAGCCTCCAGGAGCTGCAGATTGACGGTCGACCATTATATAGCGAGATCCATCTGGTGCTGTAGATCTAGTTCGATTCGGACTCATAAAGAGACAAATCGCCATTGAATCCATTCAGTGTAAGAGTATCTGAGACACCGTATCCGGTTATCGCAGGGGACCTGGACCACTGACCCCTACTCTGGCTCTGAGATTGAAGATGGTTTCTCCTT